CGACACCTGTGAGATTCGAACTCACGCGGGCGAACCCACTGGCTTAGCAGGCCAGCACCTTAACCACTCGGTCAAAGTGTCCAATTGTTGATGAGTGGCAAATATCTACAAAATATCACATATGAAAATTTGTCATTCTCGGAGAATCACTTTGGCATCCACCAAACATCGTTGATTGATCGGATCAGATAAGATGTTCGAAGATTGCACGACGTCAAAACCAAGTCATGGATATGACGGCTCCCGGCGAGGTACGAGAAAAGTCACCCATATGTATGACAAAGGTTTCTTGAACTTTGTGTGGGTTTGCTTAGAGTGTGGTAGTCTTACTGTGCTTGCAGGGTTGCGGATAGAAGCCAAGCCAAGGGAGAGCTTTCCTTTTTAAAACGAACTGGGGGAAGAGGTGCTTCACATCCATGCTCTGACTTCTCAAGCTCTTTCTCTATTCCAGAGATATGCCGCCTTTATGCATCAGCGCACTTGAGATATCATAAGGCTCTAAGTCAACATCAACCAAGAGTGGCATGTCAGGTAAGCGAGGGTAATGGGCGTCAACTGCTGTGGTGGAAAGTTCCCTTCCGATAAAAGGTTCTGCTGATGAAAAACTCCTACAATACATTGTCCTCTTGTGTCTCTAAGTGCGCCGGAGAATATAAATATGCTTGAAGCATCCAAAGAATCATTGGTTTGCGGCCAGCCCGTGGTGTCTCTAGATCTCCCAGAGTCCCAAGTAAATCTTGCCGGTCCGGTTGCAAGCTCTGCTATTACCTATTCCCATAGTACTTGACGTTCTCATAAAACGCTTGTCCCTTGTGTGGCTTGCCCACTAAAATATCATGGATCAAGGGGCTCATTCTTGTGGCGATTCGGGAGATGGTCAGGCATCGCCGCCGAGTAGATCTGAATCCCATGAACGTGGAAGGCGTCGTCGGACCGGTCCCGAGGAACCATGTCCGATCTGTCTTGCTCCGCTGGGGATAAACACAGCTGTGCTGGAATGGTGTAGAGCAGAGTGCGGTACAACCTTCCACATAGCCTGTTTGTTTACTTGGTGGCGCACAGCTGGGCATGAAGGGATGATCTGCCCTGCTTGTCAGTGTCGTTGGCTTGATCTGGACAAGATCAAGGAATGGAACACTTGATTTCCTGCCCTTGTCGGAGAGACACTCTTTGTAGTCGTCGTGCAATTTGTTGTCGCATGATTGCACCGGCTTTATGGTTAGTTAGATACCAAAGGTGGCCAGGCCCCGAGTCCAAGGCTTGATATAAGAACGAATCTAACCTTTGTTACTGCATGAATTGTCCCAAGGAAAAAATCATACGATTTGGCTCTACCACAGCGTTGTGGACCATGTTATCAGACCTTGTGGCAGAATGCTTGTCCCGATCATGCATACTCTACAGGCACTGTAGGCCCTGCTCGCTCCCTTGGTGTGTGGCAGGAAATAACACAAGCTCGTGTCTGGAGTCTGTAGAGTACTCCGTCAGTCACAGCCTCGAGGACATCACTTGCCACCATTTGTGTGAGTGGTCTCATTGACAATGTTCCATACACGCGCTGCAATGCGCGCCACGTTGTGGTGTTTCGGCCTATTTCATTTGAGATTTCATCGGAGAAGTTCAAGTAGTCTGCCTAATGGAATGGGGCTGTTATCCAAGTATTCTCACTCCGTGTGTGGTGAGTGTTGACCTGAAGGGTTTCCATGACCACTCAGCCGATGCAGACTTTGCTCTATCACTTCCTCACGCTGTGTGCTAATAATACTCCTTTCGTCAGTATGACCACCAAGGCCAACTAGCTACCTAAGGTACTGGAATTTCTTCGGAAGCTGCATGCTCGAGTATGGCATGAATCGAGCTGATTGGCCGGTTGGTTGTATACATCTGCCCTACGGCATTTCCATCCTGTTCCCGGCTGGACGCTCCTGGGTTACCGCAATACATTCTCGGGTGTCAGAGTCGTGCGTATCGATCGGTCAAACACACGGAAGAGGAGTACATTGAGTAACGACCAGTCTGCACAAAGAAAGCTTGCCGTCCCGGAATTCGGCTTCCCGGGCTCCCTTCTTCCATGGATCGGGCCCATCCGAGCCGTGGTGTGGGGTCAGGGCAGTAGTACCGCTGCTCAGGCCGAGCTGGTTCGACGCATGTGTCCGGTCGTCGTGTATGGCAGAATGAGCATTCGAGCAATGGAGTCTGGGCGATGGAAATTGTTGGAGAATATAGCTGGGGTCTCTGACAAAAAGAGATTTGCGACACCTGTGAGATTCGAACTCACGCGGGCGAACCCACTGGCTTAGCAGGCCAGCACCTTAACCACTCGGTCAAAGTGTCAAATTCTTGATTACGTCAGTGACCTGTTGCCTCTATGGCTCTTTGGATTGAAACTAACATTAGTCGCCTGGTAGCTTGTTTTGGTATACGACCTCGGTGGAAACAATACATGACTTCAAGGTTCTCAATGCGCAATAGATTTGCTGCCTTATTAGTCTGAGTTATAGGCGGGCTTTCTACTTCTATATATTTTCATCTTATGTTTTTTATCTATCTCGATTGGTCCTGTGCTGAGTAGCCTGTGGTCGGGTGTTATATTATCGTAGGTGCGGTAACATACCTTTCCACCGGCGCACTGTGTCCGCTGTCCATGGACGCGCGCGGTGTAGATACAGACCACCTCCATCATGGTGGAAAGTGTAGAATGAGCATGGTACATGGTGGATCCCGAAAACTATCATTCCACATCCACGGTCGGCGAGGGTCCGACCACTTCGTGCAATTGACCGTGGGTTGGGAGTGGCAACTACTGCCCAGAAACGCCCTCTCCCGATGCAAATATATAGCACGACGACAATTTGAAGCTGCACGGACCAACGACACCGACCAGATGGCAAAAAAGAGAAAGAGGTAAAGACACACGACATATGGGTGATGACTGGTCGAAGGTGGACACCCCATTTCTGCCAATGACAACTGTACCCATGCCGGGCAAACCGGAGACGATCCCTACACCAACCCAGCCACAGATGACAGAATACAGATGAACAGTGCATCTTAGCCGTCCCAGCAAGGTAGCAAGGAGCCAATAAATCCAACCGAGCCTCAAGAGCCAGAGATAAGATCCAATCCATAGCAAACCACTAACCTACCCGGATCTCACCTGATGTGCAACACAGCGCACATGGGACTCTGGTCCTAATCACCGAACGAGAGACCACAAGGGGCGCCAATCCCTCGGAAGATCTGTAGCCGGCAATAAATAGTCCCAGAGAAGCATACATTCGATACATACACGAACCAGCTCGCATAAAAGGCGTGCCGGCCCTTTAGCGCGTCATAGACATGATGACGACGGTGACATGCAAGAGCTCCGAAAGTACAACCACCGGTCACGGAGATATCATGTATACATACACCAACGCCGTGTAGTTCAAGAAGGTATTGGATATGAAACTCTACCATATGACATGAGAGAAAACAAAGCTAGCGAACTTGTGCCAAAGGCGGATAATTTTACAGGCGATAGAATCATTTAACAAGTGCAGATCGCAGACACGTGGTATATCATAATTTGAAAGTCACGTTAAGTCAGCAAATAGACACTTTGACCGAGTGGTTAAGGTGCTGGCCTGCTAAGCCAGTGGGTTCGCCCGCGTGAGTTCGAATCTCACAGGTGTCGATTTCTTTTTTTGCATTCTCCCAGTTCTTCAGGAACAGCCCGTTCCAGCCAGGCCTCGCACATCCTCGTGTGCTCTAACCTGACCTCAAGGCGAGAACAACCATGTGCGTAGCACTCATGCCTAGCCGGACGGCAACTGTAGTCGCAATTCGCAGCCGACAGTACCTCAAGTCACGCAGATGCTAATATAGCCCAGGCGGACACCTGCGTATCTACGTAAGCCACCGTACCGTGACTACAGCAAGCCCAAAGTACATCTACCAGGTACCTCGCGTACTCCATTGGCCTGCATGACTCCGAGACACCCGACAGATCGATGCATGTCAATAGGGGCCCAATGTGCCAGCATTGGTCGTCAAGATAGAGTGTTTCATGCTAAACGATGGCCCAGAAAAGTGGCAGCAAGCTGCATCATCCTAGCCCAACACTGATGATAGGTCGACTTCCCATGTCTTTTTTTTTTTCTCGCCGGAGCCATCAAAGCTGGGGCCGTCCGCTCCCAAAGGATTTATGATGATTTTGTACCGAACCGCGGAGAACGAGTATCGGAAAAAGGACGGGACCACACAGGAGAGATCAAATCAAAGCATTGGTAGCCGCCTCCAGGCATTGGGCTGAATTGACAACTGCGCTGCCAGCAGCGAGGTGGAAATTGATCGACGCCATCGGTGAGAAGGGCAGGCAACGTTTGACTCGGTGATTTGGTGAGAATCGAGGGTGCCAATCACATACGCCAGGGCACACATCTAGTCATCGAGACCCTCTCCAAAGATGGCTGTGAAAATTAAGAACAGAATCGCGACAACCGAAAAAGAAAAGAAAGAGAAAAAAAAATGGAAGCCTGATATGTACAGTATACGTACTCGGCGGTGCTCGTGGTGCAGCCCCGCCTGACACAGGAGGAAGAGGAGGAAGAGGCAGGGCCGGGCTGGTAAGTTAGTAGTTAGTAGTTGGTCTGCCAGCCACCCGTTTATATTATTCTTCCTCCCCCACGCCCCCCCCCCAGTTCATCATCGCAGTTCAATCCTCCCTCCCTCCCTCCACTTGCACTCTGCGCCAATATCCATTGACATCCACCTGTATTGACATTCCTTTCACCGCATGCTCCACGTCTCTAGCCTGCATTTATTCATTGTCCTGCCACCAGTCAACAACACCAGAGCCCGCGTTTCGTGGCTTGTGTAACACCGCACTCAAAAGGAAGTGTATACTTGCTTCCAGCCCGCCTGTAATTATACTCCGCATCGGCACATTGCCCGCCGACGTCGCGTTGCAACATTACCCATACCTGAGGTCGCTCGCTGTCATAGCCAACTATGCGATCATAGGTATAGCCTTGAATTGTTTGGTATACGCTATTCTTAGACGCAGGGCCAGTATATTCGGTCCTACTTGTCCACAGCTGTGACGAGCTCTCCGAAAGTCGTCGATGCGAGTTTGCGCTACAGTGCAAGTCGCTCCTCAGACCACGAATCCATCCCAACCATGGCCACAGAAAGTACCCAAACAACCGAGGGCGGAAACACTATGCCTTCCGATCAAGTGTCCAGTAACACCTCGCGTCCAGTCACATCGCATCGGCGACAGCCCTCCCAAGGATGGTTCACTGCCGAGCACGAGCCCGATGGGGGGAGCTATCCGAAGAGCGTGAAAGACCAAAGCATCCCTCTCGTGCCTTACATCCCCGAAAGGCCACATGGCAATCGTACATCCCGCTCAGGTTCCACAAACACCAAAGGCCGAGGTAAAATGCACCCAGAAGAGGTCATGGGGCGGACAGACAGGCTACCGACGCTACAGCCGTCCCTCTGGTCCGAGGAGAACGAACCGCCACAGGCCACCGGCATCAAGCGACACCGAGGTGATGGTCCCAAGCCCCCAGTCTCCGAAAGCCAAGCATCTCCCCTGAGCCGGTCGAATACGCGGCGATCTACAGCGGACCCTGGACAGTCCTTGGCCTCGGATCGCTCGCCCCTTCAAATGCTAGAAGTATCATTAAAAGAGAAGAAAAGAGCACGGGTGCTGGAGGCTGAAATGAAGCTCAAAGAACGAATGCAAAGGGAGGCCGACGGCCGAGAACCAGCATCCTCGCAACCCCCAAATCGGGCCGATACAAGAGTAGCAGGCCGCGAGGACGCTCCACGAGCCATGAGTGGACAGGCTCCTAGACATAGCCAGCCTGCTGCACCGGGTACGAAGCGACCGGAACACCGACGCCTTGCCTCTGAGCCCCGAGCCGAATATGGTCCACTGGAACAAAATCCATACGAGAAGCCCAGACCATCCCGCACCAGAGCCCCTTCTCTACAGGACCCAGCGGCATACGCGGTTGATGGGGGCCCCTATGCCAGCACTAGACAATCGAGCGCGGCAGTATTGGACAGAGGCACCGCCCCTAGACGAACGGTTACCGTAAGTCACAGACCTGCAGGACCTCCTATGGGCCCACGAGCGATGAACACAGGCAGTCACCAGGATTCGCGAGCGTATGCCTCCGCTGCCTTTGATTCAACCCCCCCAAAACAGGATAAGATGGCGCCCTATGGCAGAAAGAATGTGCCCAGTCAAATGGAATCCAGCAAGCCTGGGCCGGGGCCGGGGCCGCAAGCACAGCATGAATCTGTGGCTCAAAAAGGCAGACCATTGCCACAAGTTGGTCCAGCTGCAGGTCCTCCGCAACCAAAGACAACATTCCCTCAAAGTAATGCAAATAACCTTGCCGGAGTTGCTCCGGAGCTGTCTATCCCCTTGGGTGCCGATATGAGCGCCGATTTGAGCCGAGAGACTTTCGGCACAGAAACAAGTGCGCCGTCAAAGCCCAAGGTCTCATTCAATGTGCCACCGCCCACACCTCCTCCACTATCGGAGTGGAAGACCGCACAAGTTGCCCGATTAGGAGCTTCCGACTTTGACTTCCAGCGACTCGATGCCGATCGAAGCAAGGCTTGGTGGGAAGGCGCCACGAGTAATAATCGTCGACGCAGCAGGGCACTTCCAAGCGACTTCCCGCAAAGAACACCGGCTCAAAAATCAGCAGGTAAGCTCTCCGAGTGGGGATCCAAGGAAAGTTCTTCAAATACTGATAAGGATTGTCGTTTAGGTAGCAAACGCTTCCAGCCGCCGATATTCCTGAAATGTGGGCCTCTACTCCGCTATGGCGGACTAAGACGAGTCCGCATTGACGGGCCCAATGGGCCATTTAACAAGGAGACATGGAGAGGTAGCATCCTCATTGTGACCCAAGATTCGCGCTCGTCTTATGAGCCATCCCCAACCCTACGATTATTCCCACAACCGATGGATCTTCTCCCCCCTCCACCAGTTCAGGTAGATGGTGAAGAAGCTCGCCTTGCACCCGAGTACGTTGATCCTACGGCAGGGTTGATGAAGCTGGGACGAGACGGGCGGGCTCTATATGTCAAACCAGTGGACCATATCGATGAAGAGACAGACCTCTCGGTCATTGAGAATGACGATGGCCTGTTTGAGATGTCCCCCAGCATGGTCGACTACAGCAGTGAGGGTGTCAAGCAGCCTGTTCCCGCCAATCGACTTCACTCCATGGACGGAGAAGTCGCTGGAAGCTATACTGAGGTCACTGGAGCCCGTCTCTACGCGGACCCAGGACGAGATGTGACGTTCTGGAGGTTCAACATTGAGGTTGAACTAGGCCCTACCCAGCAGCGGATTGCCTATAGGCTGAATCAAGGACCTGCCATAGGGTTTTGGGTTCCCGCACGTGGACAATCAATGAACATCGTGTTCCATACGGGCAACGGCTTTAGCGCAGCTGTCAACCCCAACAAATTGTGTGGGCCTGATCCTTTGTGGCGTGACATATTGACTGAGCACCAGACCCAGCCCTTCCACGTCATGATTGGTGGAGGTGACCAGATCTTTAATGACAAGGTCATAGCAGAGACAGCCCATTTCCAGGAATGGGTAAAGATCAAGAGCTTGGGCGAGAAGTATGACGCTTCATTTACAGCCGAGTTTCGAGCCGAGCTAGAAGACTTCTATCTTGGAAACTACTCAGCGTGGTTCTCGCAAGGGCTTTTTTCCTTGGCCGGCTCCCAGATTCCTATGGTGAACATGTGGAACGATCATGAGATAATCGAAGGATTTGGGTCCTACCCAGAGGAGTTCATGAATTGTGCTGTCATATCGGGACTCGGGAATATCGCATTCAAGTACTACCTCTTGTTCCAACACCACAGCGTTCCCGAAGAGACCGAGGCTGAGGAGCCGAGCTGGCTTCTGGGAGCTCAGCCCGGCCCATATATTAACCAAAAGAGTCGGCATCTATTCATGTCCTTGGGTGACGGAGTGTCTTTCCTTGGATTAGATTGCCGTACGGAGCGAATGGTAAGTCGATGGATTACCAGTATTGAGTCGTGCTTACTAACTCGTGCGATGCTACAGACCGATGAAATCCTCAGCGAACAAACGTGCGATCTGATCTGGGACCGATGTCATCGCGAGATAACGAGGGGTGAGACCAAGCACTTGATTGTCTCTCTGGGTATCCCAATAGCGTACCCTAGAGTGGTATGTGATAGACTCAAAATCTCGGGGCGTACAAGCTTGCTAACAAGTTCGAAGGCAATGGTCAAAAACATTCTCAATAGCCGCAAGTCCCTGGGTAAAGCCGGACTTTTCGGCGGCTTGGTCAACAAGAATGGCGGCAAAGTAGAGATCTTCGACGACCACTGGACGGCTAAGCACCACAAGTCTGAGCGGACGTATTTGATCGAGGATCTGCAGGACTTGGCCGCAGAAAAATCAGTTCGAGTCACTATCCTGAGGTATGTTCGAGTGGCGTATCCTACTAACAGCAGCTGACTGGATTGCTTTCTAGCGGAGATGTCCATCTGGCCGCCGTCGGCCAATTCTACTCGAATCCGAAATTGAGCATCCCTAGAGACAAGGACTACCGTTACATGGCCAATGTCATCTCGTCCGCTATTGCGGACCTGCCTGAGACGGAGATGATTTCCGACATGCTGAACAAGCGCAACCGGGTGCATCACATGGATACCAATACCGACGAAGACATGGTCCCGCTTTTCACTCATGATGTGAACAACAAGCCTCGCAACAATAAGAGACTGCTACCTCGACGCAATTGGTGCTCCATCCGCCAATACCAGCCAGGTCGGTTAGCCCGAGCGACTAGTACGGAAGGTTTGCTAACATACTCCTAGGTTCTACGCCCCCAGGCACACCGCGGTTTGCTCTGAGACCCGGCGCGGAGGAGCCCCGCCCGCGTAAACTGAAAAGAACGCTATCACTGACCCGTGGGGATAAGCCTCCCAGCGGAGGCCTATTCCGCCGGCTTTCAGGCCGTGGCCCGCCACCTACGAAAGAATTCAACCTAGGCGAGGCCCCAATCGGCCGACGGATGAGCATGGATGGACCCTTCACTTCGGCTGAAACAGGGGATGGCTTCCAGCCTGGATTCTTACAACGCCGCGCCACGAATGCTAGCCAAACGATGGGCAGCCGTGCAGGTGGAGGGCTGGATGGACCGAGCCATATGGAGGAAGGCCTTGCTATCACGCTCAATCTCGAGCTCAACCCCAAAGACCCAGCAGGTATCACGACCCCATATAAGCTGCTGGTTCCCGCGCTCCGATACGAAGGGATGGACTTTGACCTACCAGCGGCCCCGGTCGCCAAAGGGTGGAAGAAATGGTTGGGAGTCCGGGGCGCCAAGAGAGAGAGGTTGCCAGCGGAGGACACGGAGGTTGAGGATGACTATGATGACGGGATGAGCGACGAGGAAGATGAAGAGGACGAGGGTGGCTATGACAATCCTCGAGAGGTATATGGTGGGGGGGTGGGCGAGGGTGGTAGTAGTAGGATGGCCCCAGCCGGGTTGGTGGGTGCGAGCGTGGACGATATGGAGGGGGAAGAAGAGGGCGAGAGGGAGGAGACGACTCCTTCGAAGCGGAAAAAGTGGTTCGGACGATCGAAATGAGGGGTGAGGGGTGAGGGGTGATGATTGACGATAAGGACATGCATGTACTTGATGAGATGAATGATGAATGAACGACGTACGGAGTACTCTGTAGATAATGAGATAATCTGATCGATAATCAATGGGGGTCTCGCCCGGCCGCCGCTTGGTAAGCCGGCCACGTGACCGGGGCCTCGCCGCCGGTGATTTGTGAGAAATTCATTGTTGGCTTGGTCCTGCATGGATGTCTGTATGCATTTGACCAAAAAAGACTTTAACCGCCCTTTCATAATTTTCCAAGTCTGGATCCGATCTGAAAATTGCATGGGTTGGTGTTATTGTTGTCATTGTTCAGTGGACTGCCCTCTTAGCTAATCTCGCCCCGGCCAGCCCGACTTTCTGGTGGATTCGCTGCCCCTCCGTTCGGCTTCTCCCCATCACTATTAATTCATTCTGCTTCCACCACACCATCCTCCATTCCCACTTCCTTCTTATAACTCTTCCCTCTTCTTCCCCCTAATACCGCCAATCTGTTTTCCTCCGCCTTTCGTCGCTTTCCCTTCTCCTCCCTCCGTGCATCTCTTGGATTGACTGCCGCGGCCACTTCTTCGCTCCATCAAAAATCCTCACCTGCAACTTCCGCTCTCCCGAATCCCCTTTCGACGCCACTGCGCGTCAATCCTCCTTCATCCTCCAGAATGGTTCACACTAACGTCGTCAGTAAGTATCATCGTCTCAATTGGGCTGCCTGAAGCGGGTCTTAACCATCTTTTTGCCATTAGTTATCGGCTCCGGCCCCGCTGCGCACACCGCTGCCATCTACCTCTCCCGTGCCGAACTCAAGCCCGTCCTCTATGAGGGTATGTTGGCTAACGGCACCGCCGCTGGCGGTCAGCTTACCACCACTACCGACATCGAGAACTTCCCCGGTTTCCCCGATGGAATCGGCGGCGGTGAACTCATGGAGAACATGCGCAAGCAGTCCATCCGCTTCGGCACTGAGGTGATCACCGAGACCATCTCCAAGGTCGACTTCTCCCAGCGCCCCTTCAAGCTCTGGACCGAGTGGAACGACGGCCCCGACAACGAGCCCGCTCACACTGCCGATGCGGTCATCATCGCCACCGGTGCCAATGCCCGCCGCCTCGACCTCCCCGGCGAGGAGAAGTACTGGCAGAACGGTATCTCGGCGTGCGCCGTCTGCGACGGTGCCGTCCCCATCTTCCGCAACAAGCCCCTCTTCGTCATCGGTGGTGGTGACTCCGCCGCCGAGGAGGCCATGTTCCTCGCCAAGTACGGCAGCAGCGTGACCGTCCTCGTCCGCAAGGACAAGCTCCGTGCCAGCAAGACCATGGCCCAGCGTCTCCTGGCCCACCCCAAGGTCACCGTCCGCTTCAACACCGTCGCCACCGAGGTCCTCGGCGAGGAGAAGCCCATGGGCCTGATGACCCACCTGCGCGTCAAGAACGTCGTCTCCGGCGAGGAGGAGGTCGTCGACGCCAACGGTCTCTTCTACGCCGTCGGCCACGACCCCGCCACCGCCCTGGTCAAGGGCCAGATCAACCTCGATGAGGATGGATACATCGTCACCCAGCCCGGTACCAGCTACACCAGCGTTGAGGGTGTCTTCGCCTGCGGTGACGTCCAGGACAAGCGCTACCGCCAGGCCATCACCAGTGCTGGTATGTTTCTTACTTTCTTCACACAAGAGTCCAACAACCCTTGCTGACCTTCCATTTTCTCCAGGATCCGGCTGCATTGCTGCCCTCGAAGCCGAGAAGTACATCGCCGAGAAGGAGTCCAATGACGAGGAGCCCGTCACCAGCGTCGAGAAGTCCACTGTTCAGCCCACCCAGGAGGTCAACGGCGAGGTCAAGAAGGAGTCCGAGGGTGCTACCACCGAGTACAAGTCCAACCCTCTTCTTTAAGCGATTTCGCCAAAAACCCTTTCCTTATCTACCGCCCTTTACAACCGCATTCGCCCCCCACCCTTTTCTCAATGCCTTCCATCGCATAGATCGGGTTTCCATTACTAGACACACTCCCCCATTTGTCACCTTGTTGTGTGTACACCATACACGCAGAGGATGATGATACCCCTTTGTCACTTTTCCGTCAGGAATTTCTTCCTGCTCCGATTCTGTTACGGGATTATATCTTAGACTTAGCGTTTTTTTATCTTGATCTTTATTCTTTTTTCTTTTCAGATCTGATCTCATCTTTGTGATGTACATACAACGTGATACAACACACGCACCACACACCAGGAGGGTTGGTTGGGGTTTTCCTTTCCATGGAATTCGAACGATGACTGGAACTGAATCTTTGACTGTGGAAATACATTGTTACAATAAGGATAGAATTAGAAATAGAAAGTCATGAAACTTCTTCTTGGATGTTCTTGCAAAGATAGTATAACACTAAATTCTACTAAGTTTTCCTCGCTTAGGAATGAGTCGGGCTGTTCCACTCGCCGCTGTTGCTGAGCAGAAGGGAAATAGCTTGTATAGATGTAAGAGAGCTCCCGGCATACGATACGGGAGTGCTGTTGGCCACGCTGCTGGTGGTGGTGTTGCTGGTGTTGTTGCCGGTGCCATTCTGCATTACCCCTGCAAGCACATCACCACTGGCCGCACCACCACTGGCCGCACCACCACTGGCCGCACCACCACTGGCCGCACCACCACTGGCCGCACCACCACCACCAGTACCATTCGAAATTCCACCCGCAGCAGCATCCCCCAAACGAAGATCCAACTCTCGCTCCGCCACCCACCCGTCAAACGGATGCTCCCGACACCACCGCTCCCGAACCTGCAGGGCGCGTTTCTCCCACTCGGCGGCTTCGCGACGCCACTGCTCCATGACCGCCGCGTTGGTCTGCCGGTTCACCTCGATCTGCTGGAGGTAGGGCCGCTTCTCGGCCGGGTCGGCCTGGCGCCACATCCGGCCCAGCGCCTGGCGGATCTCGTCGCGGCCCGCTTTGGCGCTGGGGTCGTTGGTGGCCGCGCGCCGGGCTGCGTCGCACTGGGCGCGGCACCGGGCCCAGACGTCCTTCTGGTAGAGGAGGAACGGGTTGAGGGCGGCGCGCGCGGGATGGGGCACGGGCGCACCGATTTCGGCGGTGACGGCGGCCCACATCGCCTTGTCGTAGGCGGCGTGGTGGAGGGACTCCGGGGAGGGGTTGGGGTCGTTTGGGGTGGTAGCGGGTTGTTGGTTGGGGAGGAGTGGGTGGATGGAGGAGGTGGTGGTGGTGGTGGTGGTGGATGAAGGATGATGCTGTTGTTTGCGCTTTTGGCCGGTGTTTGCGGTTGTTGTCGTTGACGGAGACGGAGCGAGAAGGGAGTCACCCGTTGGGACGACCTTGGAGCCCTTTTCTGGCACAAGAGGGGTGGTGATTTCGATAGGCCCGAGAACGCTGTCGATGATTTCTGAGGCTGCGCGTAGACCTGACAGATAGGCACCGTGCACGGTGGCAGGGTGGGTGGCACAGGTGGCTTCGCCGGCAAAGTGCAGGTTGCCGATCGACTGGGCCATGAGATCGTAGTCGCCGGGAAGGGAGTGGGCGGCGACGAAGGAATAGCTTCCGCGAGTGAACTTGTCACTGGCCCAGCGAGTGATGATCGTCTCTAGAGGGTCCGGGACAGCAACGTGCTTGAAAACATTGCGGAGCTGGCTGGTCACCTCGGCGATGATCTCGGCGTCTGGAGTGCATTCGGCTTGGTGAGCGGCGTCACCGGCCATCAGGGCTATAAGCACAGGCAGACCGGTCGTTCGCATGCAGTTCCAGAAGAGGTAGAACCGACCTCGATTGGCGGAATAGTCTTCTTGTCTCATGCTGTCGCGGTTCTGGGGCTCGCGTAACAGACCAAACATGTCACGTTCCGTGTCCCAGAAGGGTTGGTCGAATACAAGAATCACCTTGTTCATGACCCCGAAACCTAGCCGGTCGATTGCCCCCAGTTTCCACTCGGGAAGAGGAGGGGAGAATTGGATGCTTCGGTGCTTGAGAACACCCAGGGATCCTGTGAAAACGACTTTGTCCGCCATGAAGCTCTCACCGTCTTCACACTGGATGTGGGCTTTCTGTTTGCCGCGGCCAGTCTGATCATAAGAGATCCTGCAAACGACTTTGTTTGGATGTAAGTCAAGCTTGGTTGGCAATGACCACAGCCCATACGGAAGCTGCTGGTATCCGCCAATGACCTGCGAGTGCTCCCCTTCGAACTCATTGCCCATATCCTGGTCCCACCCCGAAAGACTGAGCTTGCCGACGTTGGCTGCATTTGCGTATTCTAGATTGGCCATATGCCAGTTCATCAATCGCATATCCTTCGGTGTCAGCGGCAGCATGTGCTGGTATTGCCGGACACCCTCATCTAAGACGGCCCCCAGGGTTTGATTCCGGGAGGCCTTGGCTATGGGATCTAGATTAATCATTTCAGTATCTGAGACCCCGGGTTTCAGGCTCCAGCCCATCGTCTGACAAGCGAGCTTGGTTGGGTTCTCTTCGTTACTGTCCGCGTTTGCTGAAGGGGCACCGACTGGTTTGATTTCTGCTGTCTTGTGACCCACACCTCTACGGATTTTTTTGGCAGGAAACAATAGCCCAATCGTACCGGCAGCCCTGGCCTCTTCATATTGCCGGACGGTTAGGCCATCGTTGGTCACGATGTCACGACCGTTATCGATCAAGTCTCGCTCACCTTCCGCCGTCGGGACAATCACGGATTTGTGACGATAGAACCCCGAACGATCCAGAACATCGTTGTAGAGCATCTCGGCCGTTGCGTCTCGGGCTTCGTCTACCGCAGAGCCATCGATATCATAGATCGTTGATATGTCACGTAACAGATGATAGGGGAGAGCCAGCTGGCCGCGAACGATCTGATCCAACGGATTGCCATGCTCAAACCCCACGATGATCTGTGCGCCCATTTCGGCTTTCGGCACCAGACCTGGAGCCAATTTCGAGGACTGCAGGCTGCGTAGCGGATGCGAATAAATACGACCGCCAATCCTTCGCCTCCCTTCCAGGACAACCACCCGTGGAGACGAGTCGGCATCATGGTAATGGCGAAATAGTCCCTCCAATTGTCGCGCACAGCTCAAGCCTGCCACACCTGCTCCAATAACCACAATTACCGGGCCATCCCTCTGACGACCCTTTCTGGGGGTTACCAGGGCGGCGGGAATCTCCACACAGCCAAAATTGATATATCCATTCCTGATGAGCCATTCATAAGCGAATGAGGCAAGATTCACCCAGCGATAGTCTTTCGTACATCCCAGTGCTTCCTCTTTGGAAACGCTCACCATTGGGTTTCGTGTCCACAAGCGTAAAATCCCATTTCGAATGTTCAGATACACAGTGACTTGAAGATGACACAGATGGTCCTGAAGCGCATCCTGCTCCTTCTTGTGTAGGGAGTAAGGATTGAGTCGAGAGGCATACGCTGCTTCAACGCACTGCTGAGCATATACTGCCGCAGGCATCCTCGGCGGAATCGACGATCGCGGGCGATACTTTATGGGAACCGGAATGCGATGCGGACGGTCCTTGGGTTCGGTTGAAATCGAAGCAGAACCCGAGGATAGAGCGCCGGTCAGTGTTGTGGACGGCGAGTCAGACGTTGATTGGCTAGCACCGGATGAGAGGCTTGAAGAGTATGAGCCCGTTGTTGATCCATTGAGATGATCGCGCGGTACAGTCGTACCATTGGATGCATGTAGTGTGGTTGCAGTGCTGGCAGCGGGAGTAGTAGCAGTAGTCGCAAATTGTCCGTTCGACCTCTGCGAAGGACTCGTGCTTTCCAAAACAGGAGGCTGCATTGCACTGCCATTAAAGGTCGGTGCCGCGGCGGTCGAGGCCAAGGCACCATTCGCATTTACAAGCCCAGTGGCATACACTTTGGTAGGCTGGATCATTGCAGGAAGCCGTGCCGGCTGACTGCTTTCAGGAAAGACTTGCCGAGCCGAAAACATGGACAATTGTCCCCCGCTACTGGCCATAGTCCCGAGGCTCGTAGACAAATATGGATTCAACGGGCTAGTATAGGAGACGCGCCCATTAGGGCCCTGGGGCCCCAGAGAGGCAGCGGTTTTCATACTAGCTGTATGTTCCTCTATCGAACCATGCTAGGTTTGACTATGAGAAATCCCTGACTTCGGGAAGCGAACGGCTTGGCTTGAAAATGTATAAGGTTTCCCTTCGAAGGCGAGTTAGAAAGTCCCACCAGAAATTGACACACGATGCCAGAGGCCAGAGCTATTATACACAAGAGAGTAGTTGACTTACCCTTGGTCGACACCATTTATATCAGGCTGAGAGGGGATTCGATTGGAAGATCCTTATCAGCCAAGCCCATGATGCCCCAGATCCCCCGCTGATGCAAGCATTGAAGAGGCAAAATCAGTGGTATACCAACCTTGGAAGATCGCATTTGTAAGCCACAGCAAGACCCTCTGTTTTTCTGCCTCTCTCGCCCATGAGAGGGGGGACCGAATCAAGGGGGAAAGTGAGAGGGTATTTGCGGAGAGCGGAAAATGAAGAGGAAGCGGCGATAAACTGAACGACAGATGGAGATGCATTTCTGGATCGGCGGCATGTTCGCCCGGATCCCCGCCAGTCCGTTCCCGATTCTCCCCCTACGCAGGCCATACATACATGCATACATACATAACTATGATAGATATGATTTATGTCTACATGAGTGCTAAATCATGCCATTATTAGGCCAATGTCAATTTGGTTTTACTCAACAGATGAATTACAAGAGGGGCCGAAAGCCGCCTGGGATTCTTCGCAGTAGAACCAGTTCCCAAACCAGGAGAACAGGATTCGTGAAGCGTAATAGTCATCACTCTCTCTTTATAGGATACAAGGCATCGCTCGTAGGAGAAAACACTAATCAAGAACAAGGGTCTGATGTATATGAAGCGTGGTCTTTGTCGGGATCCGGCGGTCCTAGAAGCTTCAGTCTCGGCGCACTTGGGTATGCAAGGTATAAGTCTCCTCATGCGCACCGTCTTCATCCCGGAAGGCATCCGAATCATTGTCAGTGAACTCGTCCCGATAGCGCGCCGACTTGCCGTGGCCGCTCAAGTTCTCGCTCCCACTCTCGTCATCGATGGCCAATTCCACGTGATCATCATCCAAGTCCGTGAACCCGATCTGTTCCTCCTCATCGCGGGCAATAGTTCGGGCGGCCCTATCGACATCCGGGTCCTCCGAAAAGGCGTGATGTGAGCGATGAGCGGCGTGGTCCGCCTGCAAAGTCCGTCGAATATCCTCACGTTCTTTGGCCTCCAATTCCTTGGCTCGAGCCAGAGTCCTGGCATGTCACATTAGCGGGGACGCGGCGGTAAGTTTGATCGCATACAGTACCTTTTGTATATATACAGTCCGGTAAAGACTCCAATAGCAATTGTAAAAATTATACTGCAAATGTTGACCGCCTTCGAGCCAGCGCTCATCTTTTCATTGTTTTCTGAAAGAATACGAAGCCTGCTGCCGATAAAGGCGGGGACGAGTAGCTTGGGGGAGACAATTGCAGTGGCGAGTCCATACATCAAGGGATGAACGGTCGGAAAGGTCGATACGGCTCCATTACATACGGAGTAGGGAAGTGGGCATAGGCGGATCATGCACAGCAGCTTCAGTCCATCGTACTTTAAAGTCAACGAGAGGGCTGCAAAACGTTTGTCGCGCTCAATCAACCGATGCACAAACTTAGACAGAACTGTGCGAGAGACGATGAATGAAACCGTCGAGCCGAGCACGGTTGCGGAGGCGTAGAGGAGCCACCTAGTGGAGATGTCAGACTCGTGAGGCATCGTAGACGAATGATGCCCAACTCACCCTTTCCATACGCCAAAAAGATAGCCGGAGACTGTTCCGAATGTTGACCATCCTACCAAGGGAGGAAACGAAACGAAAAAGACACATAGCCAAAGGATGAAGAAGGCCAAACGGGACTTCTCCCACTGTGCTGCCACGGGCCGGATCCAAATGAACACCTTTCCGGTAAAGAACAGGAATGCCAGTCCCAGCATGTTAGCCAAGATAAAAGCACCTACTGCGCCGACTCGTTGCCAGAAAGTCATCTTCCGCCATGCTGTTCTTATCCGCCGCGACATTTGAGTTGCTCGGTCGATGGCCTGCTCACGGAAGGTTGTTGGTTTCCGGCCAGCGGTGCCTGGTGCATTTCGCTGGGCGGAAGCTCGTTGACTCCATGGCGGGAAGATGTCTTCGTCCGATGGAGAAAAAGCTTCTGGCGACGTCGGGGAGACAGCGAGAGCCCGCGCTGTGGATGTATAATCCGCAGGCATTTTTGAGATATGGGCGATGTGAGCGAGTCGGGGGAGAATTGGAGTATGGAGACCGATTAGCTACCCCGAGTGAAGGCCACAGGATCGACAGCCGAAAGTGGAGCGGGAGCCTGAAAAGGAAGAATGACGAAACGGGCGCAATCCGAGGGAATTTGATATCGTCTCAGGGAGCTTTTTTTTTTTTTTGGATGTTGGTGACAGCACGTGTTGCGCTCAATGGAATTCCCAATACCCCAATTCCCAATTGATTCTCGAAAGGAGGGCGTTTTCAAGCCCTCGATTAGAAATCGGACATGGGCGGGGATAAGCGGAAGTGTTTGTCCACGGGTGATGCGATGATGAGGTGTGCAAGCGCAGTCGGACGGAATGAAGAAGCAGCAACAGGGTCAAAGGAGAATTCACGGTAAAAAGAGAGGAAGGAGCTGCCCAGTGCTGCAAAGTCTCCAACTCTTAGTGAAGCTTTTCTGCCTTTCGGAATGATCTATGATTGAGGGCAGCTGCAGGGTCTGAGGTTGAAATTGCTCTCTTGCGCTTTTTGGCTGGCTGCCTGGAGAGTTCGACATCATCAACTTCTGACTAAGGCAGGAACGGGGTCTGAGCGGGTATTCCGGAACTTTACAATACTGGTATGATGGATACCAGACAATTAACCATCTGATTGTCCTATTAATGGCAGGTCTTACAAGTATTATCATCGTCACCTTGATCGATGTATTCAATACTCAGCACAAGACATTCCACTAGCTTCTTCGAAAGGACCAACGGCAATAAATTTGATGGAGAGGTTGTGTTGCCCAGTTGCCCAGAACATTTCGGCAGATCTTCTGCTGTATGTATGTACATGTACTAGCCATGTAAGTTATGTGATTAGTCTAGAAACTCCCCCTCTCCCCGGATAGCCGTCGGTCTCTTCAGCAATCAGACCAGCAAGGTGACCAGAAGGGCAAAAAAAGGGGCCGAGGGGGGCAAATAATTGACAGCCTGATATGACAGCCTGACAGCCAAAGACCAATTCAGGTGCACATCACCAAGCAATGTTTGCCAAGATAAAGAGCAAACAGGTTGATCTAGCTGGCCTAGAGGGAAGGTGATTGAGGAAACCATAAGTTACTAACTATTAAGGGGGAGGTGGCCACTGTTCCTAGGAGGTACATAGTAGGTACCTGCTGTACCTTAGGGGCTCTTCAGTGGTTCCAAGTACCTACGGGTACACTACTGGCGGGATTAATCACTCCCCATCTCAATTCCAATCAATAATCCCGTCAGGTCTTCCCCCCAATCCCTCTTCTCTCCTCTCCTCTTCTCTTTATCATTCATTCCATTACCTCCTCCCCTCTCTCGACCCCTCTTTCCATCCACCCTTTCATACTCCCGCGAACAAGCTTTCGCGTGGTCGACCTTCTCTTTCTTTCATTCCTTATGCCTCCTTATTGTTTCCGTCTTTCTTGTTGTTGTTGTTGTTGATCATATGGTATGGTGAGGGCAGATGCGATGTAATCACCCGTGGAACCGCAAGCTTGTTGTCCTGTCTCCTCTCTATCGTGCTAACCTCTTTCTGGCTCATAGTCACTCATATAACCGACAAAGAAAATCGTCTGGGATTAAACTCAATAATGTATACTGTTCTGTGAAACGCGCAGCTTTCCTTCCAGCTTTCCCATGCCCTCCGTTCAACTGCCCGAGCCTCGCAATCAACGGTTACCCCACATCTCTCCTTCCCACCGTGTTTCCATTGCTTTCCAGCTGCACTAGCTAGCCACAACACCTTCTTTCACCATGATTTCAGAAGACCTTTTGGAGGAGTGCTTGCAGATTCTCCAGGATGAAGCTCTGGACGAGGAAGATCAGGCCGAGAAAGTCGAAGACTTTATCCGCGAAAAGACCTCGTTATCTGGCTCAGCTCTCGAAAATGCCGTGCTGGACGTTCTTTGGCGCCATCGAAATCGTACTCTGCCCAACGCCTCTCCACCACCTCCTCGTCATACAGTCATCCGTCGCTCGTCCCCCGCTCCCTGGCAGATCGCCCGCTCAGCCACACCCTTGTCGCCTCATTCCAACCTAGGCACCAGTCCTGGAAGCACTTCCTGGCTTCAGAGCTCACGAGGGGGGTATCCGCGACCCCCGCTTTCCTCAACAGTGTCACCCTTCACCTCTCCGCGCCCGTCACCTCGACTCGCTTTGGCTCAACCTATACCCCATTCTCCGAACTTGAATGCATACGAGTTTTCCGACCAGAGTCATGTGTCAGACTTCTACGGAGATTTTGGCAGCGATAGCAATGTGGATTGGTTGGTCGCAGATGATGCCAATAGTGTCGCATCATCCTTAGGGACGCCGAGTCTCACAGCAGCATTGAGTGCGACAGCTCCGGAATTCGTTCCCGACATGAGTCCGCATGACATTCTGCGCACTGTTCTCGGAGATAAACGGACAAATGATGAGATTGAAGCAGCACTGGAAGCGAATAGTTACGATCTTGGCGCCACAATCGCATCACTTTCACAATTCACAGACGGAGAAGCTCTGTTGAATCATGCGGATGATAGCCATTTTGTGGTGGGAAAATCGATGTCCATGGAGCAGCCTAAAGCTGCCAGTCCGTCGCTGCAGAGTCGCAGTCCGGTGGTCTGCAAATACTGGCTGTCCACCGGACAATGTCTTCGTGCGGACTGTCGATTTAGCCACGACCTCACCAACCACCTTTGCAAGTATGTTGAAACCATCGCAGCTGCGATCCAAAAACCTCCCCAGACTGACGAAACATAGGTACTGGGTGATGGGCAATTGCCTTGCCGGTGACGGTTGCCCGTTTTCTCATGATCCGTCAGCCCTGGTCGCAAACATGAGCTTGGCAGACGGAAGTCAGACAATCCCGACCGGCCCGCAATTCCACATAGAGAATGTCTCGGACGCTTTCCCTCCTCTCCAGTCTGGGGGCGGAGACCAGTGGGGTGGTCAATACGTTGGAAAGTATCCCGGCCACCTATCGGGCTTGTCTGGTGGGAAGCATTCGCCGCAGGCCATGCAGTATGTCATGGGGAAACGAAATGGCAGCATGACGAATCTTTCTCGCCCCCACTCTCGACCAGGGAGCCGACATCAGCATAGGGAATTGAATCCGGCTGCTCTGTCGGTGGATGATCCGGATGCATTTCCTACCCTGGCTGCTATGAGCGCGAGGAACAGTGGAAAGAAGCATCATGGGAAACGAGGCGCGCACAATCGCGAGAACAATCCAAGCAAGGAGAATCTTCCCACTTCCTTAGCAGATGTTGTTCGCATGTCCCCATCCCCAGTCCCAGGAAAAGGGAAATCCACGTCCAAGAATGGTAAAGACGCAGCCAGAGGCCGAGAGTTCAGCGCTGCTGCCCAGTCTATTCCAGCGCCACAGAATATCCCTTGGCTCGAGACAGGGGCACGTGCCAACGAACAGTATATCAAGTATCGGACAAAGGCAATAGGTCATGGTACGGTGAGGAACAAGTTCCTTCAAGGGTAAGTCTACCGCAATTGTGAAGTTGGCTTATGAAAGCTAATCCATCGTTGAAGTGCCGCCCAAGCCTGGAACCGGAATGATGCCAGGGCAGCCAAGGCACTATCTCTGCGGGGCCAAGCCGAGAACGAAGCAATGAGGAAGTGCCATCGCGAAGCAGCCCGGCAATTATATGAGGAACGGAACAAACATCTATCTCATGCTGGCCTAGAGGATTCATCAGAGGAGTTATATGTCGATCTGCATGGGCTGCATCCGGAGGAGGCTATTGAATACCTAGAGAAGATTTTGCTGAAGCATGCTCGTGAAGGTCGGAGAGTGGTCTATGCCATCACTGGCACCGGCCATCATTCCAAGAACGGCAAGGACAAGATCGGCAAGGCCGTCAAGGCCTGGCTGAACGAATGGAAGTATCTCTTCCGCGAGTTCAGCGTCCCAGGCGAAAGAGGTGGGTATGTTGGGGGAATCTTGGGCATTGACCCCACGAGTTATGACAAGAGTCTGGCCAGGAGCCTTGAAGAGAGTGCCGAGGCAAAATCTGACGGCGATACTAGCCCGCCTGTGCTGACGATGGGCAAGATTCAGTTGTTGAAACGCGAAGACTTGGAACCGAAGTCATAATCCATACATCTTCTGCAAGTTCAATGTCTCCTTTCTTGAGATGGCACACGCAACCTCCTCATCATATCCCACTCCTCTCTATCGATTCTTACTCTACTTTTCTTGCTCATAGCTCAGATAATATCTCGGGAGTTTGCTGTGCCACCACACGCTTCGACAGCCACTATCAGCAAGCAGGATCGAGTCCGAACGGTGCCCTCTCCGAGGACGGATGTCACAAGCAAGTTGCGCAAGTCACGGGCACGAGCTAAATTTGACCGACCCTTTCTTACTTTTTCTCGTGTAGAGCGTTCAGCTAGCTAGCTATTATAGCGTGCCCTTGTTCTATTATTCTTACCATGCAGACCATTCCGACCTTACGCCGGCCGAATTAGGTTATGCTAAATACGGAAGAAATATACCTTTCTTTCAGCATGCATATATGCATCTCAGTAATCGAGCAATGATGCCAGTCGATGTCGTACTGATTCTTCGTACCAAAGCCAAACTATTTACTCCGGCTCTACTCCGGCTCCTGACCCTTCCACTTCTCCCTCAACTCCCGCACATTGAACCCGCACGCCTCCGCCTTCTTGACCACAGCCCTCGCCTTCTCCGCCACAGGCACATCGATCATCTTCCCATCCAGCGTCCAGGCCCCACGGCCGGCCTGCGCCGCTTTGTCATCGGCGATGCACACCCGCACCGCCCACTGGACTTCCTCAGGATCCGGCCCGAAGATCCGCTGCGCGGTCTCCACCTGCGACGGATGGATACACTGCTTCCCATTGAACCCCAACCGGCGACCGTCGCGACACTCCTCCTCCAAGACCGCGGGGGGCGACCCGTCGCCCTTGCTCGATCGGTAGGCGGTGCACACCAGATCGATCGTCGAGGGGAGTTCCGCCGCCCGGGCCGCGGTGGCGATCATCGACCGCGCAAACAGGAACTCGGTGAGCGAGGGGGTGCGCGTGAGACTGAGGTCCAAGGCGAAGTCCTCGGCGGCGAAGATCAAGCCTTGGAGGAGCGGGGTGGAGGCGCAGATCTGCGTGAGGTTGGTGAGGGATTTGGCGGATTCGATGAGGGCGAGGAGGGAGATGGGCGGACGATCTGGGTTGTGTTGTTGCTGGGAGAGGGTGTGGGTGATCACGTCGGTGACGAAAGTTAGGTCCGAGGGGGAGTTGACTTTCGGGATTACGATTGTGGTGAGGTTGGGGGATTGGAGCTGTTGGATGTGTGATTTGGGGGTTAGCTTGGTTAGGTGGCGCGTGGCGCTGTGATGGATTTATGGGGATGGTAAGGAGGAGTGAGGACTGACGACTTCGGTGAGATCGCTCAGGGCGAGACCACTGTCCACGGAGTTGATGCGGACGGCGCGCTCGCGAATCCTCTCTGGTGCCGGTCGGTCGAGCGCCCTCCGCACCAGGGAGCGGGCTTCCGCTTTCTTGTGCGGAGTCACGCTGTCTTCGAGGTCGTAGGCCACGCAGTCGGCGATTAGGGTGCGGGATTTGTCGATGAAGCGTTGGGAGGAGCCGGGGACTGGATTACATCATCTTAGTTTCTTGTCTGTTGGACGTTGTGTGTGGGTGGTGCTGGTGTAGGTGGTTGGGGGGGTGGACAACGCTCCTGTAGGAGAATGCGGGGAGAGCTCCTGTGGGTTCGCGATAAGTATACGGGGCGATAGAGACATACTGTAGAGAAGAGCTCGACGGAGCGTGTTGCGGGCTGCCATTGTGACGGAAGTTGAGGCTTTCTCGTATCTTCTGAGTATCCTGGCGTGTGGATCGAGCGGCTGAGATCTATCCGGTGCAAGCGGAGAGCGCGAAAGATATAAAGTGTGGAGGAAAGAGGAGAATCTGGACCGATGGACATCCTCGGGTTGCTGGCCGCGGCGCATAAAGGCTTCTCCCGTCGTCAGGAACTCTCTGTCGGTCCAATGACCTCATCCACTAGGGTGGATCGCCCATGCACGGTCTGCCATGGAGAGATGCTCTTCTCCCTCCTTACCTCTTGGCTGCATATTTATGAGTGATCGTAGGGAATCCAGTGAAGTAAAGAGTGAGCTTCGTTCTGCTATCGTAATGTGCTGAGGGTCTAGCAAGAGGAATCCCGTCCGTTAATTAAGGAAAGGATAACAACCATTCATGTGGCCGGCGGTGGCTCCGCATTCTGCCAGTATCCACCGCCGGGGCCATGGAGACACGCAGCATCAACGCATTGAGCACATTCCTGCTTCACGTTGCGTGTCAAACAGCTTGACTGTTGTCCCACCCTCCTTATCCTTTCGTTTGAGAACCTCTGAAGAGCTGCTAAACTCTGGAGTCTGCACCTCAACCAACATGGAACAACAACCCCTCCAACCGCAACAGGGAGATTTGAACTGGCGCCTCAGCGCCCACCCGATCACCTTGCTGTTCTTCCTGGGCTTTCGCATTAGTGCCCTGTTGATGTACCTTTTCGGTGTTCTGTTCATCAAGAACTTGTACGTATTGGAGAACTCTGGCTCTGATTTATCATTATACAACTCTAGACGATCCCACGGGTATCGGAGATATCGCCTTGTGGGCCACGCGACCAATTGTCCGAGCTTATCTGACTGATCTCGATCGAATAGTGTCCTGGTTTTCATCCTAACGCTGCTGCTCCTCTCCGCGGACTTCTACTACCTCAAGAACATTGCTGGACGTCGGCTAGTCGGACTGCGCTGGTGGAACGAAGTCAACACCTCGAGCGGCGATTCACACTGGGTCTTCGAGTCCTCGGATCCTACCACCCGCACAATTGCCGCCACGGACAAGCGGTTTTTCTGGCTTAGTCTGTATCTTACGCCTACGCTCTGGGTTGGCTTGGCTATTTTGGCCATCATCAAATTGAGCAGTGTAATCTGGTTGAGTTTGGTTGGTACGTGTTGCGGCCCCTTGTTCCCAGCTTCTAAGGTCTGGCGACTAACTTGTTACAGCTATCGCTCTAGTACTGACCATCACGAACACGCTCGCTTTCTCCCGGTGCGATCGCTTCAGCGTCGCCAACAGCGCGCTTTCCGGGGGCATCATGAGTAACCTTGCGGGAGGACTGCTGGGCAGACTCTTCAAGTAAAATCGGCATGTTTCGTACTGTGTATGATCTTCGTCTGTCTGTTTGTGCTCTTTTATCACCGGCCTGAATCTATGTGCAATTCAGGATTCGCCGACCAACATGTAGCGAGCTTCAGTCATCAATCCAGAATATCTTCAAACCAGTGGATGTAGGCTTTTATTCGCACTGTACACATCGCCAAACGCCTAGAGATGTGGTGAAACATCGTTCACCCGGACAAGTAACATTTTGCGTGACATTCTTATGACTAGCATATCTTAATGTTATCTAGCCTGATGTTTGCAATTGTGGCCAGTGCGTGTCACTGCCAAAGGATATCGCAGGCTGTTCTTGGGACTCAAGGCTCGCTCTGTACCTACAGCAGATGGCCTGCCGAAAAGGGCGTGGCATCTTTTCGAGACTGACTTGATCCGCTAGAAAGGGCATCACAAACCGACTTCAAGGTTGCCTGGAGCTTTGAGATGCTTACAAAATAGACAAACTACCCTGGGTGTCTTTCAACAAGCATTGCTCTCTATGTAATTAGGCTGACATCTGCCGGGTTTTCAGTCTGTATATGGCTTGCTAGATTCAGGAACCCATGCTCGCCAGCGCAACGCTGCGATTACTGGAAGGTTGTTGCTGATATTCACTTGAGGAATCTGTAAAACACTAGCTAGCATACACCCTTTCTCTTATCGATCACCGCAAAGAAGTAATGAGGTGAGCAGTGCCACCACAAGTCAAACTATTCCTCTCAGTTGTAGTCGATTTAGGAAGTAAGTATGAAGAGCTCAAGCTGATCCTCAATACCGAGTGAAAAGTCCGCTGGGATTACTTCAAGGAACCCCGCTTTCGAGTGAAATCTGAGCTCGGCTGTTTGTGTTGTGGGGACAAGATGTCTTCGAAGTGACATAAAGATAAGATGCGATTGATTAAATCTACCGTGCCATGTTGTCGGTACAAGCACGTGGCTGCGGGCACGTGGTCCTTGAGTCTAATCACTATCAAAGCCCTCATTAATGAAAGCTATATATAAGCACAACAAGAATCTTTCTTTACTTGTGCAGTACCTTGAGTAATAACCATGTTCATTTTGATATCAAAAGAAACTTTGGAATCTCTTATATGAACTCATTATCAGAAAGTGATGTGGCAATGCTTCGTATTCCTTTAACAGGTTTAAGATCGTCAAACAAACAGAAGAATATCCTCAAGATGGATTCACATTAAAGGTCACTTGCATGACTATTGAATAATCCTTACCTACCTTGTTCTTCTTATCACTATTACTATCAAGTATCTACCTTTCTTCCTTATGCTGGGAAACAGGCGCTGTCTACTTTCTGATATCAGCCAGCCAGCCAGCCGACCTGCCAGTTAGTTCTCTGTCTTGTTTGTTTTCTCTTTATTGCCTACACCCTCTGCAAACTCTCTACCTTCATTGTGCAGACGTGGGGCATTTTGCACTGTGATGATTTCTGATGAAGATATCTACACCTACAGTTACACCTGACTGTTAAACATACGCGAAATTCCTCAAGACTTGACCTGCTTCTCTTCTTTAGTTTGAACCACTGGGAATTCTCACTCGTTGCTCTGGAAAGACCCAGACAGACATTTTGCACTTCTTTAAATTGTTTCAATTTTTGGGCTGCTAATTCCAAAAGTTGGCACTGAAGCTGTCACTCACACCAAGTGCACCATTGAATTGTCAGATACTGGATGCTACAAGCTGGCGCAACACCCTTCCGTGTGATTCTTCTCTTGCCCCATCCTCATCTCTGTCTCCTTCCATCTGGTTCACGTCTGTCTTTGCACAGCAGTCCGTTTATCTCTCGACAACTGCTACATAGCTGAGCGGACTTATGCCTTTTTGATCCACTCTTCCCACCGAGTTACAAGCTGTTTCAATTCAGCTATTTTACTCCACACAGCCCCTTTCTACCCTTCAAACACGTCAGCCTCCCCAATGCAATCACCAGAGCCTCGCAAGAAACCACAGGCCCGTCCCTGGAGCGACTCCGAAAAGCTACGCCTTGTGGAGCTGCGAACGGTAGAGAAAGACGTACCGTGGGCGGCATTCCAAAAGGTATCATCGCTCATCCTCAAATTTACGATCTAGTCACTGACGCGTTCTCCGACATTGTTAGAAATACTTCCCGGATCGAAGCCTTGCTGCAATTCAAGGGGCTTATTCTGTAAGTATACTCCATGTTTATTTATATGCCTTCAGGTTCTCATACTAACTTTGAAAGAACTATTGTCGAAGCGAAAAGGAATCCAAAAAGATGGTATTTATCAATACTCAGACATCGGGTTTTCCTTACTAACATGATTTCGCTGTCTCTAGCCTGCTGAAGGTAATCAAGGCCCGACTCCCAGCAAGGGTAGAAAGCGTTCCGTTGCTAGCTCAGGAACACCTGAGAGCTTTGCTGAACCCAAAAAGACGAAGACAATCTGTGGCTTTGAGTAAGGGATCATCTTCTGAAGGGTCCATCGCAACAATACTGACAGCACAGCAGTGATGACTCAGAAGACGAACCCTCCAACCAGCTGTTTGTGGAAGAGAACACATTCGTGAAGGTAGGTATCGGGATTCGGCCATCTAGTCCCACTTTGGATGCTAATATTCTTTCGAATTATCATTAGGCCCAGGCTGCTGAAAGAGGTGATACTCAAAAGGCTCCAAAAACTGTCACTGTCGATGTGGCGAAGATCGATAAACCCTCCTGCAACATTACCGAGCTACCAGAAGGAATGCAGTTCTTTGAGAAGATCATCAACGAGTACAAGTCATTGCAGCAAACCCTGGTACACATGGAGAGCAAGCTGAAGGAGAGCGAGGATGAGCTGAAAAGTCTGAAAATGAGCACCATGACTGATAAATGCCAGTTTGAGGTGGCCAAAGCCGACTTGCAAGAAGAGATGGATCTCCTCAAGGCCGAACTCCTCCAGGTAAAGTCCGAGAAGGACGAGATGAAGCCGGCTACGAGCAATGAAGGTTGCCAGCGTTGTACCGAGCTCGAAGAACAGCTCGACCACCTCTTTACGACCTTTCGCCCTGCTCCGAAGTAGGCTTTTAAACACACCGTGGCTCATTGAGGAAGATTCTGAATACTTTGGTTTTGTTTCCTCTTTTTCCTTCTCGTTGATGATCTCATTGGTATCATTGGGATTTACTCGATATCTCTGACTTCGCCGACCTTAATCTACCTTTTGTGTTTTTCATTTTGCTATTGTTTCATCAAAGTGCCTGGTTGCAGGTATGATCTATTCTTTAGTCTCATCACCTTGTTTCTCTTGTGATATTCGGAGTCGTGAAATGTGGATAAAGAACGAAGTTAGTGGAAGAATGTCTATCACGAAAGATCATAAGATCAGCCTCAGGAGCTCCTATGTAATAATTTTAGGATTGAGATAACAAGTAGTTGAACGGGCAGTCAGATGAGACCATAAGGTGAATGAATGTGGATGGCGACAGCAGGAAATATTTGGCTCGTTTGTCTGTGTTCCCAGTGTTACTGGTTAAGTTACCTGCTACTTCACTTCTCCTCACTCTCCTCACTCTCCTCCTCTCACTCTTCCTTTCTTCCAACACCCTTCTGCCCTGCACCCTCCTGCCCCTCCTCTCTTGTCACTCTACTTCTTCTTACTGTTTCTGATCGAGGCTTTTTCTATTCCGGTTCCCACTTCCAAATCCTCAACGATTCTCCCTCCAGCACCAAGGTTAGTTCACTTTCTGCACACAAATCTCGAGAGGTTGGGAAGAGTACTTTATTACAAGATGCTTTTCCTGCAAATAAGCTACACCAGATCACATCAGAAGACTCGAGGTCTCATCCCCAGATCTCCAGTCTCACTTCAGGCAACTGAGGGATCATTCTACGCGTACCCCCCTTCAACAGGCTTAGTCTTTCATTGGGGATATCCGAGTGACTGATGATATGTGTGCTCCACAGTTCTTTTCCCTAGCAACAGCTCGGTTGCATAGCAAAGATGGACAACTGGAATAGCGCGGAGTGGAATGAAGACGGTCGTGACACTGGTTAGTGACCTTACCAATTTCCCAAGACTTTCCACCCACACACCTCTGGGTCGACGCGTTCTCCAGTCCCCTCATAGCTACTGCAGCTCAGTCACAAGATAACAGCTAACCTAATGCTAGGTTATGGCAATGACGAAAATGCCAGACCTGGTGATTTCAACTCTGCTCCTTACGGTGGCAATGACTATGACCGCGCGTCTGCTGCCGACGGACAGGACGATAACAGATGTCGCAAGTAAGTGCTTACCTTACTGCTAGAGGAACACTACCAGATGGCTAACTCTGAATCTCACAGCTGTGGGGCCGATGATCACTTCGCCCGCATGTGTCCTGAGCCTAAAAAGTCTATGGGTGCTTGCTTCAACTGCGGCGAGGAAGGGTAAGTCTAGAAACTGGAACACATATTGATTTTCGCTGGTTAACGTGATCCGAAATAGACACTCGAAGGCCGACTGCACTAAGCCCCGTGTCTTCAAGGGTACCTGTCGTGTCTGCAACCAGGAAGGGCATCCTGCTGCCGAGTGTCCTGAAAGACCTGCTGATGTTTGTAAAAACTGCAAAATGGAAGGTATGGCGAAGCAGAATCCTCTGATGTCAGGCAACAAAGTGAGCTGATATCTTGAGATAGGTCATCGTGCCCTCGATTGCAAGGAGAATCGCAAGTTCGATTTGAATGATGTCCCTGACATGCCCCCCGAGGACGCCTGGAACCTTCTACAGAAGGCCAGCGATGAGAAAGACCTGGAGGATTTCCGCACCGTAAGACTTACCTCTCACTAACATCTCACCTGATCATCATTCCTGAGCATTCAGCTGTTATAGCTTCATACTGACCCAGACTAGGGCATCAAGATCTTCTCGAAGGCAGTTCCTGAGGCTACTTTCGTCGATATCGAGAAGAGAATGCGTGAGGAAAACCTCAAGTTCTACATCATCGCGTTGGTTCGTACAGCCCCTGGCCTTGTCTGCCCAATTCCATATCAAATCTGTATTGACTGGACGACACAGGAAAGGGAAGCGAACAGTTGTATCAGCTTCATCAATCTCCAAGGCAAGCTAGATTGTACATACGTGGTTGGATACTTCTTCAGCCCCAAGCCACAGCGTGCGCATCTTAGAGAGCGTTGGCCATCTAGCGACGACGAGAATCTTGAGCGCCTCGAGGATGCTGGTTTGCCTTACGATCGTCAGGTCCCCAAGTGCGGCAATTGCGGTGGTAAGTTGACTCACACCATCATGGGACAACCACTAACCTGCTCAAGAAATGGGCCATACTGCCCGTGGCTGCACGCAGGAACGAGCCGAAATTGAGCGTGTCGAAGTGAAATGCGTCAATTGCAGTGCCGTCGGTCATCGCGCCCGCGACTGCACTGAGCCTCGTCGTGACAAGTTTGCCTGTCGTAACTGCGGGTATGTGGTCAGCCCTAGATCTTCAGAATTGAGGCAACTGACATCTGCAAGTTCTCCTGAGCACAAAGCTGCTGAATGTCCCAACCCTCGCTCAGCGGAGGGTGTGGAGTGCAAGCGTTGCAACGAAGGTGAACCACACGGCTCATCTTTCCATCTAGTCGCAATTCTAACAAGCTTAGTCGGACATTTCGCAAAGGACTGCCCTCAGAAACCTGAGCCCAGGACCTGTCGCAACTGCGGGTGAGCAACACCCTTAATAGCTTCTCCGCTTAAGTGAACTGATATCAATTGCACAGATCCGAGGACCATATTGCGCGCGACTGCGACAAACCCCGTGATGTATCTACCGTCACCTGCCGTAACTGTGATGAGGGTATGTTTATCACGCAATTTCACATAGCACGATAGCTAACACCAGGACTCAGTTGGTCACTTTAGTCGTGACTGTACTAAGAAGCGCGATTACTCACGAGTCCAATGCCGCAACTGTGGAGAGAGTAAGTCTCCCTCCTTCTAAAGCTCTTGATACAGATCACTAATTACCTCACTCTTTTCCCAACCAGTGGGCCACACTATCAGACGTTGCCCCAAGGCCCCAGCCGAAGAGTCGTTTGAGGAACCCACCGACAAAAATGCCTCAACCGAGCCCGAACCTTGGATCTCAGGAGCTGCTGACAATGAAGATGCGCCCGCTTTTGAGGAGGAAAACAATGACGAATGGAATAATGGTGGTGGCGGTGGTGGCGCAGCTTGGTAATGCCGAGGCTCCCAGAGCTTTGTAGTAGCTTGCGAAGGGAGAATGGCGAGCTGTTCGTCTACGACGATGTTCGGTGTTTCATCATGCAGTGATAATTCGTTCGGTTTTCCAAGAGAACGGGTGTCTAGATCTGGTTGACGAGCGATTTACTACTCGGTCGACCTCGGGTTTGACACCTGATCTTGAGGACTTCTGATGATATCATCTATCGTTGTATGTGCTTGTTTTCTCTCAGAGATAACGGTGTATTTTCAGACAACTCATTCCAAAAAATCAAGAACCAAGAGAGAAGGCAAGGTCAATCTAGACTTCGGGTTTGTGTTCGGAACGGAGGAGAAACCTTTTGTCCTCCAATGGATGGACGAGAGGAGGATCCATTTTCTCGAATGGCCCGTGGTGTTTTTTGACGTTGAAGCATTTATGTGCCCTTTGTATCCATCCTCGTCCTCATCTTAAGCTAGTTTATTCTTATAGGATAGCCATTGTAGTAGTAAAGATTGGAGAATGATAAGTCTAATTGTAATCTAGATATATGGGAGACTAATTACATAGATATAGTGTTAACCCGATCTATACAGAACAGATTCTAAATGTCCATGTGGGGAATCGTGGATACAGAAAAAGTAAACAACAGGCTCGTCTATGGCTATAGTGTGCAGTGAAATGCCAAGGAAATGAAACCGAGTTCAATAAGGGAGAGAGAAACAGCAGACAAAGAAGGAGGAGTGATAGGCCATCCCAACTGGAGTCACCCACTCACTCCTTCTTCCCCTTCTTCAGCGAGGCGAGGCTCCACTTCTTGACGCGGAAGGCATAATACAAGAACACGGCCGCGGCGATATCCACGACGATGTAGACCCAGAAGATGCCGAAGTTGCGCCAGCGCTCGCTGTAGAAGATGTTCACACCCGCCAGATACTGGTCGGCGACGGACATGGAGCAGTACTCGCAGCTGGCGGTGGCGTTCGGGTTCTTCAGGTACCCAACGGCGGTCTGGAGGTAGTCGCTCAGGTAGTCGCCGCAGGTCTGGCCGGCGGGGGGATTGAAGATGGACAGCTCGGTGCTGCTGCACTGGACGGGGCGGCCGTGCAGCTGGGTGGCGGTGACGCCGCCGACCCAATACGTGAAGGGGGAGACGCGGTACATGAAGATCCAGAAGCCCGGGAGGGCGGAGGGGGACTGCATGACGCCGTTGAAGGTGAGGGCCATAGAGAAGAGGAGGGTGACGATGGCGCCGGCGGTCTCGGCGTCGGGTAGGGCGGCGATGCACAGGATGGCGAAGGTGCTGGCGTAGATGAAGAACTGGATGCAGAAGAGCAGGACCAGCCCCTGGCGCGACGAGGCCTGCACCCCGTCGACGGCGTAGTAGTAGCACGCGTACACCAGGACGCCCATGACGATCTGGTAGGGGATCTCGACGAGGATGCTGGCGACCATGAACGCCTTCCACGAGTAGGTCTTGCTGGGCCGCTCCCGCACCTCGTACAGCGACCGCTGGATGATGAACATCGGGATGATCTGCTGCACCAGCGACGAGAAGATCGCGCACAGCATGAACACCGAGAAGATCGCGTCCTGCAGCCCCTGCGTCGAGCTGTCCGCGTGGAAGAAGCTGAACCCGATGAACAGGCCCGAGCAGATCCCCAGCAGCATCTTGGCGACAATGTACATCGGCGTGCGCCAGTATTGCTGGAACACCCGCCGCATCACGATCGGCAGCTGCTTCGTCAACGGCATGGCGAACTCCGCGTGCTCCCGGGGATCTTCCTCGGAAGCGTGCGGTGGTCCCTGGCTGCTGTTGGCGGCATGGATCCGGTGGAGTTCCTGCTGCACGGCGGCGGCTTCCGGGCTCCGTTTCCACACCTCGAACCAATCCTCCCCGTGTTTGTTGCTGACCGCGTTGACGATCTCGAGCATGTATTCGGCCGGGTTTTCCTCATCGTCGCAGCGCCGCGGCGCGCCGTTGGCTTCGAAGTAGTCGAGCAGCGTCCGGGAATTCTCGCCGATCGGGCCGAAGTATACGGTTTTGCCGCCGCGGGCGAGGAATAGGAGCTGGTCGAATTGTTGGAATAGGATAGCGCTGGGTTGGTGGATCGTGCAGAGAATCGCTTGGCCGGCGTCGGCGAGTTTGCGCAGGAAGCTGCAGATCGCCCAGGAACTCTGGGAGTCCAGACCACTGTAGATGAATAGTTAGATATGTGCTTAAGCTTAAAAGCTAGGGGTAGCTGAATGAGGCCTTACCTGGTTGGCTCGTCCAAGAACAGCAGGAGCTTCGGTTTGGCGGCCAATTCCACTCCGATGGTCAACAGCTTGCGTTGCTCGACGTTAAGACCCTCGCCGAGAACACCAACGACAGCTTCCGCGAACTCCTCCATGTTCAGCATCTTGATGACCTCTTCGACATAGGCATATTTCTCCTCGATCGGTACCGAGTCCGGCTGTCGGAGCATAGCACTGAACCTCAAGCTCTCGCGGACAGTCGCGGTCTCGAGGTGCAAATCTTGTTGTTGAACATAACCGGTCTTTCGAGGGAAACTCGAATCCAGGGGACGACCACTGACGAACATGTCGCCCGTGATGACACCCATGGTCGTGCGGTGAGCCAACACATCGAGAAGAGTGGTTTTGCCGGCACCACTGACTCCCATCAGCGCTGTCAGGGTTCCTGGCTTGACCCAGCCGGCCACGTGGTCGAGCAGTCGACGCGGTTCTCCCTTGATCTCAATATCGTAGACGATGTTGTTCCATGTGAAAACATCCCGCTGAGGTGGGATGGAGAAGGCCCCACTCTGTTGCTTGTCGTTCGCATTGTCCTGCGTCGAAGTAGCGGTAGGCTTGCCAGATTCCTCATCAGCGCTAGCCCCTTGTTCCTGCTTCAGGTGAGCAGGCTCGTGTCCCCGCCGGAACAGCAAAACCTCGGCCGTGCTGGTGGCGGATGAGTTGAGTTCGGTGGCGAGAAAGTAAATGGCCAGGAAACCGATGAGGAATGCGATCAAGATGCCGAAGTTCCTCCAAACGTGACTGTACGTATACCTGTATGAAGCCCAAATGAAGTCGTCACCGCTGACAGTCCGACGACCGGCAACAGCTCCAGTCGCGGAGCATACGAAAGAGTCGCCTTCGAGGTTCGGGTAGGAGGGGACAAACTCAGAACAGGCAAACTCGCGTCCGTGGAACTCGTTGGCAACCAGAATTTCGAACGCGTAGTAGATCGGGTTGATGTAGTGGATCCAACCAAACCAGGGATGCATTTTGGGCACTGGAACCACGAAGCCTGTGTAGATGACCAAGGCGAGAATCAGGATACCGGCCAAGGTCATGGCTTGGGAGACGGTTTTGGTGATCGCAGCCATAGTCCGGAATACAGCGCTCATCACAAACATGATGATGAAGTTGATGAGGAAGTATATGAAGAACTGGGATGGCTCTCTGCGCAGATTACTCAGAAAGTACAGAATAATGTTGAAAACCACCGCTAGAAGGAACTTGACCGGTATGTCGCTCAAGACACCGGCAATGGCTTCCGTGGCCGGGTGATAGAAGGCAAAGGACGCGTGTTTCTCCACAATCGGACGCTGAGAGTACAAGCTGTTGATTTCCGTCATAGCCGTGAGGGCGTTCAGGAGCACCGCATAGAAGAGTACTGCACCCCTGGAGAAAAACCCCGCAGTAGACACAGGGGAGCCGTAGAAGACTGAACCAATAATCAAAGCCAGTATACAGTTTCCGACCACGGTTGTCACTGTCGAGGTCCGCTCGTTCCAAACCCGCTGGTAGGCTCGAATAGTGTTGAGTTTGATCTGCATGGGTATGCTAAGAAGATATGGCGAAGCTGCCCGCGTATGATTGGCCTGTTCCTGTCGCTTCTGCTGCTGCAATTCTAGCAACTTCTCATTTGAGCGGGATGAGACATGCTGCTGATGAGCAGCCATCTCTTTCTGAAGTTCCTGGTACTCAGGCGATTGACGCCAGTATGTTTCGAACTCTTGAGGTGTACGCGGAACCCGGGCCTCCATACCAGGAATTGGCTGCCGTTCCACCGGATTCGTAACGGAGGTCAGGAAGTCACCGGTTGTTTGGCGCGGAGGACAGAACCAGCCCTGACGCTCAAAGAAAGCTTTGGCCTTGGCGGCCGATCCGTAGTAGATTTGATGTCCCTCGTAGAGTAGCACAGTCTTGTCGAACAGATCATAGATCGCTTGGCTGGCTTGATAGGCAGCGACCGCATGCAATGACGATCCTAGATCGGCCGACAGTCGTAGAGCTTGCACAAATTTCAGAGCCGTCGCTGAATCTAGACCACGAGTTGAGTTATCCCACGCAGCGATGGGGGCTCCCGAGACAGCCATTTCTGCAATGCTGACACGCTTTCGCTCACCACCCGATACACCACGGACGTGGTCGCTTCCCACCTTGGTGTTGTACGTATGGCTTAGGCCAAACACCGCCATGACCACCTTCGTCATCATCGTTGCATACTCTTTCCGGGACATGCCCTGGAGACGCTTTGAGGGTGTCCGAACAGATGCTGCGAATTCCAGTGTCTGTCCCACGGTCAGGTGCGGGAAGTGTTTGTCTCCTTCCTGGTTGTAGAGAACTTCACCCTTGAATTCCTTGATCATGGTCTTCTGGGGAATACCACTGTAGTGGATCACTGATGCGGGATCCAGGTCCAGTCCATTCAACTCGCCGCAGAGCGTCTTGAGGAATGTACTGCAGCCTGAACCAGGGCGGCCCAGCACGAGCAGCAACTCTCCACTCTCCAACACGCCATCAAACCCCCGTAGGATCTGCTTGGGTGTCTTGGGACCAAGATTGAAAGTTTCACGCGGCCTCAGGGGTGCTGTAAGCAGGTCCGACACAGTTTGCTGAAGTTGCAGTGCCGATCCAGTCCCTGAAACTCGGAGGTTCTCAAAGTAGATGGCCGCTTCCTTTTGCTGGATTCCTCCCTCATTCAGCAAGTGTGAGATCTTCCGCAGCCATTTGTATAGATCAAAGTCTTTGCTATCTGGGTTGAGTGCAGGGTCGTTCGTGGGAATATTAGCTAGGGTGTTGACTCGAGCAATGCTGTGATCTGCGCTGACAAGTTTGGTGAGGTAGGCCTCGTCGTTCGGGTTCAGCGATGCACGGTGGGTATTTCTGGGTTGGTGGTGTTCGACCTCGGTTTCAGTAGTGGAGCTCGTGGAAGAGATGGAATGGGCGTGACCAGGATCGGCCTCTCTTCGTTCAGGCTGACCTGATGCAGATGCAGAGATGGGAGGTGAAGACCACGACTGTGTTTGTGACTCAAGGAAGCTTCTCCCATGGTTGTCGGCATGGAGCTCAGGCTCCAGTGGCACTTTTTCTGTTGACATGCTGAATTAGAATGGTTCTACCATGTGGGATAGTGACGAGAGGCAGATTGTAGAGGAGGAAAGGTTCTAGATTTAAGAAGGATGAAACAGGCAGCCACAATCAATTGCTGTCGTACTGATCAGACCGAAGGATGCATCAATTATGCTAAACACCTACTATGCTTGATAAGCCATGTGGAACCGGTAGTTGAAACTAACAGAACGTTCGGGATCTCCCCTGAATTCTAGCCGAAAGTCTATAGATATTGCAATCGCAGCCTGTCGTAAGGCATCGTTTCTAAATTCTCAACAGGATTGGGAGACTAGGCTTAGGGAGTCCAGAGAATGGGTCCCGGAAAAGCAGATCGTTCGTCTCGTTGGCAGGTGGTGAATCTAATGAGATCACAAAGTGGGCCCGGATGGCGGAAGGCCTCACAACCGAGACCAGCTCAATCGGATCCCTCAGCTCCCGCCATGTTTTTCCCCAGTAGCAGGACAGCTGGGCCGCTGGACCCCCGGGACGTTGGACAACCGTTCAGATTCTGCTCCAGGAACCATGAAACACGGATCCGAAGCATGCCTGGGCTGCCACATTCTGATGATTAATCGGGAATGATAAACTTCAATCTCACCTAAGCGGAGTTGGCTGCCATTGTGTTCCGTCGCTTCGGGGAAAGTGTACGTCTGGGCTAAAGAACTGCACTTCATTGCATAGGACAAGAGATTGTCGTCAGGATAACGCGAGATAACGCGAGATAACGCGACCGGGACGTTGGGATCCCACAATTCCGAGATGAGCAAATGCGTGCGTGAGCACGATAGCGGATCGTCACTGATCGCGAGAATCCAAGGCGGGATCGTCGACGCTATTTGGAAGGTCAAAGACTATCTATATGAACTATAGTAGTCTAGCAGTATTCATGCCGGTGTATGTCGAAGGGAACGTCCAAGGGAACCGAATCGCTGATTCTCGTACTCTCAGTTTCGGGATGTTCTCTGTCAAGGGCCGTACGGTAAAGCGCCGTCCCGAGAGGGTGGATCCAACTCGCTGGTGGAGGTCAATAAATCTTGGACCCCTGAATAATCTGCAGTCATCTGACCATAAGGTCCTTATTTGTATGTCTGATGCTGCTATGATTGCACTGCAATTGTCCGCGCATTAGGCTGCCCAGAGTCGTGATGCCGGACATGGGATTGGAGACGTCGACGTCGAGGGCGGCAGAAGAGGGGCGTAGGACGGACATCACTGCCGGAAATGAGGAAAGGTCAGTCCAATTCATACCTCCCAAGTCATTACCATCATGCGAACAAGGTTGGATGCCTACCTTAGATAGACTTCTTTGGCTATGAATGATACTGATTCGTGGTATGGCCGGAGAAGAGGTGGTCTAAGGCTCGACCAAAAGGTTCCGGAACACTTCTCCAATACTTCCCCTCTTCCACGTCACCCTTACCTGGCTTCGCCATGAGAGGAACACTTCCTCTTCTTCCACCCAGGATCCTCACCGTCCTGGCCCTGACAATCACATTTCAAGCACTCATGGCAACATGCCGGTGATCTTCAAGTTTGAGCCTATTCCAGGCCCAACCGCCGACTGGGAGGACACCGAGTTATACGTCAGGGTAGCCGATATATTTTGTCTGATATGCGGGTATTGGGATCTCAAACCTCCGAACTTAGCCCACATAATCCCGCGCAAACATGGTAAACCCAAGAAAGCTGTCGGCTCGCACACGACGAAGCCGAACTGGGAAGACACGTTTCGGCTGAGTTAGTTTCTCCGGTAGATGCACAGGAAAACCTTTCTATGCGGAAACTGATTGAGTGGCATATGCATCCAGTCATCAACGATACAAAGCACCGTGGATGCTATGTATCCTGTAGCCAGGCGTCTGAGATGTTCAGGGAGGACCCATCCCCGAGTTGCTTGAAAGCCTTACTCCAGATCATGAAGGAGTGTCTACCCAGGAAACCATGGAAGAATCGTGCGACTCGTCGAGGGCGACGGAGCCAGAGGCTGTGCTTCGGCTATGCGGTCCACTCTTGCTGTTGGGAACTACTCAAGACCCATCGCCTCAAGGCGATGGCTGAGACGGGCTTGGCTACTCTGGTGGCAGCCCTTCGGCGCCAATGGATGGTGTTTCGGATCTCGTACGATTCTGCGAAAAGTATAAAGTGTTTTCTTGCCTCTTGTTGCTCATTATTGCTGCCGGATCACTGATGTTTGACGACTACGCGATAGATGCCCCATCGAAAGCAGACCCTTTCTACACACCTTCTATCTTTGACACGATCTATGCGGAAATCAACGAAGCCGAGTGGTTTAGAAAACAGGCAGCAGACAAGGCAACGAATACACGGCATGCACTCCAGCATGTGGACCAGACTGGTCTCCGTGCTCTTCCGTTTGAGCTAATCTACATGATCGCTGAATACCTTCCATCACAAGAGGCCAGAAGTCTCGAGACGATTTTAGATGTTCGCCTTGGCATCTTATTCTGGCGTCCTAAAATTTCGCTTGACCTGTTCTATGAGGTGAAGGCTGTCACAAGAGGGGACATCCATTGGGATCGTTTGTTCAGCAAGCTGCAAGACCTTGAGAATTCCGATGCCTTAGTATTACGTCGAAAAATACTAGGATGCTTAGATGAGCACCTGGATAAGATCGAATTAGACAAGCAGCGCGCGAAGCAAACGGAAATCTAGCGAGACGATAATGTCTTTCATGTTGGTATGGTCCATAGTTCAAGTCAGCTCTTGAAAAGGGTTTTCAAATCTATTGCTTTGGATTGCCTTGTCAACCTACCGAACAATGGTAGCGAAAAAGTTAGAGTATCAAGCCTGCAGGTATATAGCAAGATAGCAAGGTCTGGCAATCATCACTGCTGGTTTTCCGAGCTTGCCATGCACAATTGGAGACATGGAAAGAGGTGCGCGGGCTGGAACCATCGGCTAAACCAAATCTATCCTCGGACGTCGAGGCCTCTGCATTCCCGAAGCAACACACCTACCATGAACTTCGATCCTCATCTGACTATCATGCTATCATGCATTGAAGACGAGTATATACAAAATCTCTGGGGATGACATCTTATACGTGGTTGTCGCCAGGATAACAATATTCCAAGCAGATTCGTGTCGAACCCCCCCCCCCGACATACTGGGTGAAACACCGCCATGTCTCAGACCCATGCAGCATACGTACAAACGCGAAACACCTCAAGATGGCGCCAAGAAAAACGGACTATATATCACACTACACATGCTATAGATTGGCTCGCAATTTCGACGGCGCCTTACGCTCTGATTCGGCCCGCACCAGCGCGCGCATGTAGTCGCGTGCCGCGCCGAAAGAGAAAGCCCGTGGCTTGGTGAAGAGCCGGAGCTGATGATCTTGCGTGTTCAGCAACTCTGCGAGGAGTCGGGTCTTATCCTCGACGAAATCGAACGACGTCCCGATGACACCCCCCAGGCGAGCAGCCGGATGCAGCCTCGGTGATTGCCAATCTAAGTCCTCAAAAACCATTCCGGGCTTCCAGGGCAGCACTCGCTCCTTCATGGTGACCGACCACCAGTCCTTGCAGTGCCATCGGTGGGCTTTCCCACTAACAGCATGCACAAATTCCGTGGTGCCCAAAGCCAGATGAGCCCACAGGCGGTCGGCAACCACATCAATGGGGACCTCATCCAATGTGGCTTCGTGGTAAGGATCCTTGAGCCGAGAATTGAAGACGATCTCGCGTCCACGGTCAGGGATAATCATAGCTGTCACGGTGATGAATGGGGTTGATGATGGCACGCAGAATCCGGGGAAAGGAAATTTGCACGCAGGGCCCATGATCGACGGTCGGATGATGAGCAATTTATCTGAGGCGCCTGCTTCGGAAAAGTGATGGACCAACAGACGTTCTGTGAGATGCTTGGCATACCCATAGGCCCAGGGGAAAAGGTCTTGCGACTCATACTCAGTGCTGCTGGCCCTAGCTTGGATTTCCTCCCATGCCTTCAGAGCGGATTGAGCCCAGTCCTCCGTGTCCCCACCGAGAGGGTGGATTCTCTCTCTCACAACCACGTCTGCAGCCGGGGCTTGTGGCTTCCAGAGATGCGAGTTGGAATACGCGGTTGAAATATAGACGAAGCGCTCGAGATTCACAAAATCAAGTGCTAACTCTGCCAGTGATACGGTGGGGATGACGATTGACTTTGACATTGCCGGAAGCCTACTCAAAAGATTGATCGATGATGCTGCATGGACAACGATGTGCACTGATTCTTCGAGTTTCTTCCACTCTGACTCTGAAAGACCCATTCGGGGCCGAGTAATATCCCCGTCCAGAACAGCTATCGAGTTTGCCGCCTGAAAAACTGGTCGAAAGATTGTCATTGGTAAGTGCTCGAGCCACCGTTCCAATGCTCTCCTATGTATTGTGTTAGGCGATGATTGTTCAGGGCTGAATCGGACAACTAGGGTCACACTTACTTGCGACCGCCGCGACAGAGAACGTAGACTTGAGCCGGAGACGCTTCAGTGAGCGAGCGATAGAGGAGGGTTGTCCCCAGAAACCCTGTACCCCCTGTGACAAGGAGTACTTTCTTGTCGTAAGCACTCCACATAATGACAACTCAGGCGAAAATATGGCGGGCTGAGAGGACAGAATTTCTCATCGGCGGTCAGTCTGTCGTCGGGAAATCCAAGGGAAAAATCATTCTGGGCCATCTCAATCACCACAGAGGGTTTAAATAAGAGTCTGTACTGGCTGAGCTCCCACTTTCCCAGACATGAGCTGAAATCCGGATAGCCTTGTCGACAGAGTGAGGGAGACTTGCATCGGGTGAAGGGAGAGCGATCATGACGGTGTGACATCGCTTGAGTCTGACATGCATTGATAAGACTGCAAGATCATGACTGAGGGCGACACGATCCCAATCATCGATCAGCTATCATATGGACCTTCTGCATGCAGTGTGATTTGCCACCCTGGGCTGCAATCACATTGCCCCGAGATACTGACTCTAAGCGAGGACATTGCTTTTTTCGCTCCTGTATTAGACTTGATTTGTCTCACCAATGGGGCCAAATGACCCAACACAAGCACTAGTTATACCTTGAAATTGTAAGACGTATGTACCAATTTGCTATACCCTGAGCAGAAGGAAGAGTCACTCTATACTTGTGGGAGATCCATAAGGTCCGGAATCTGCCCTATGCTAGGTAGCATTTAGAGCTGGATTGTTAGACAAACGATTATGTAAGGGATGTATGTACAGCCCGGCCTCAGACTCAAAACTACCGGACTAGTTCGGACTTCCGACCAATAATCCCCTCCTGCTCCTCTTTGGTCAAGCAAATCCCAAACCTCTCCCGGAGCACCCGCACGCGATCCTCCTCAGTCCAACATATCTCGACCAGGACCGATTTGCCCCCGAGATTCTCTTTCACTTTGTCTTGGTCCAGTATGGTCTTGCCGTAGATGCTGCTACCGTCGCGCAGGAACCTGATCACGAGGAGGTTGGAAGTCAGGAAGCACCGCGGGTGCTGACTCGTATAGTAGCTCATGACTTCAAAGTCGCGACGCAGGAACTCGGTCTCGGGAAAGGCGTAGGCCGGGGTCCAAGGGCCGTCGGGGGCATTGCGGAACCGGTAGATCCACAGGCGCTGCTTCGCGTCGGTCAGCCCGTCAATGGTGTCGTACCCCAGTTGCAGCTCTTGGGTGCCGATATTCGCGGTGATTGGCCCCGCCGCAAGAGGTAGGGGGGTCGTGGGCCCATCGCCACCATAGCCCACATCAACCAGGTATCGGGATTGATCGGCAAGAGTGACGATGTTCACGGCATGTTCCCTATCCGCCAGCCAGCCAGAATCAGCGGGAGAGGGGGCAAACAAGTGGCTGCTGTGCGGCGTTCATAACACACACACACACACACTTACCAGCCTGACCACCCGGGAGAGCTGCTCCTGGAATCACGATACAGTCTGGCCCCGGCGAGGTACACTTGAAAGCCTAGGAGGGAAAGAATATGATGGAGGAAAATATTGTTCTCCATACAGTATCCACCGCGGCCCCTCTCGATGAATTTGTGATAGATATCCGAGACCTCCAGGGAAATATGCGCTGAAGGGGCATAGTGTAGCGCAATGTTCTCGTAGGGAATGGTTGACACATGATAGGTGTGGATGGCCGTTAGCAGGGCGATATCCAACCTCGGATTCCGATCTCGTCGGTACACATGGGGTAGCTGGATATGTTCAAAGTATCGATCAACCTGATCTGGGGTCAGACAATGGATGGTTTCTGTCATGGTGGCTCATCCGAAGATTTGAATTGATAGAAAGATTTCCCCGCCCCCCTCCCCAAAGGAGCCGAGGGGAGTTGGGGGGTTATAAAACACGCTGACCCCGCTGTCCACCATATACGCCAATGACAACCAGAATTCGCTTCAAGAAGGCCTTTGAAAAAGTGGGGCCGTGACTGATGCACCGTGTGGGCTGGGTTCCAGTTGTATGTCCCTATGTTAATGAAGAAGTTGGACTTTAGTCCAGTGATAAACATATGGATTTTTCGAGCTACGGAGAGTTTAATGGAATCATTGTCTATTCTTATTTAACGAGTTTGTGATTGCTTCTGTACATCAAAACCGTGCACTTATTCCTACTGGAAGGGGGTCTCGTAAGGCCGTTCAGCCTGAGGCGTAAGCCTTGCCAAATGCCGTCGATATCCATCTTCGAAGTCGAATAGCGCTGCGTGCGAGGTCACGCGGTTCTGGGGTTCATTAGCTATTATCCTTGTCGAAGAACTAGCCCAATAGATCTCAACTTACATCATATACCACCACAGTACCTGGCCTCCATCGAAGCCGCACCTGAAGATCGTGAGACAAGGCCGTTTGGTCAAATAAAAACTTGAGTAGCAGGTCCGACTCTTCTTTCTTGAGCCCGACTATCCGCTTGGTGACTAGAGTGTCGATCAGCGATAGAATACGATTCATTCAAGGCAGATTCTTATACTTACTGACTTCGTTTACGAAGATGGCCTTCTCCCCAGTTGCCTATTTTGGTAGATTAGTTTTTTATTTTTGTTGCCAGGCTTTGACAGGTTCTCACGCTCAATACTTACCGGATGAGTGCGGATAATTGGATGTGCCGTGGTGATGGCTGGCCGGCGCGAGTTGCCCCCCTCACTCTGGATATGTTCCGCACTGGTGTGCTCGGCCGTGAGCCCATGTAGCCTTTGACGGAATTCAGGAGAAAGCCTTTGGTAAGCCTGAACCATATCCGCGAAGATAGTATCACCTCCACTTGGAGGTCCATCTAGGACGTAAAGAAAGGTCGTGCCCGGCGGCTGCTCTTCGAAGCTCAGGTCGGAATGCCAGTAGACAGCGCTATTGCGCGAACGCAAGGCATTCGCACAGGTTTGGGCCTCGGGGCCACGGTGGACGACATGGATTTCAGGATAGCCTTTCGGGGCAGCCGAGGTCGGATGCATGAGGTGACGACCAAAGTAGCCGCCGTACTCGAGGGCGTCATCGATGGATAGATGGGCGAAATCTTGATCTCGGAAGGCTGCATCAACCAGATCCCTGTTAGCCACACATGCCTGCACACTTTGACGCCCATTCGTGGAAGGGGGCATCGCGATTCACCTACCTACAACCTTTCGTTGGGCAACAAATAGGGCCAGCTGGTCTTTGCCCTTGTTCGTTAACTGACTTAGTTGGATGCCGCTCACCTCGGAGCCGAACTTGGGGGTCAGATGCTCAATGACAGCAGCTCCGGGGGGAAAGAGGTCAGGGAAGGTAGAATCGGCATTCTTGCCATGCTCATGGTGTTCGAATGGCTCCAGTGGCGGATATCTTCTGAAAATCAGCGCTGCCAGGCAGGGTGTGGGGGCTGCAGGGACGATAAATCTTGCCAGACAGGATTACCTTTGTAGCTCTGGAACCGGGAGATAATTGGGGAAGGATGCTGGTACCTGGTCCATTGTATGGATGTTCGGGATCACCACCTGTGTCTGGCCTCCGTCAAATACTACACGAGCAAGGTACTGAATTGGTCTCTGGTGAGTGCGGTAACCCCTCTATGATAAGTGATAACAGAACTAAATTCTGCGGGATAATGAAGAGAAACATTAGCTCGTACCGACCGAGTCAAGTGGAAGCCCTTCATTCCTTTCTCCTCTCGTTTCCAACGCCACGATCTGACTATCACTTACTCCATAAATCGGACATCCAAAACAAACATCTAGGAATATCTCTTATGATAGGGCGGGAAAACATTGATCCCTGTGGGGATGGCTGTAAATCATTTCCTTTTTACGAATAGCATGTGGCCAGCCTCTTGCACAGTGGGTCCCAATGGTTACACTCACGAGTCACGACCTATGATCGGGCTCTCCGACGATCTTCTTCACGAGCTGAATCTTAGCACTATCGAACTCTAAAATGTGGATTAGAAGCTGGAATACTGTGGGGCGTTATATTTCGTCTTGAGTAAATCCAGCAACAATACTGTAATCGAATAAACAAAGGTGATATATATGATGCCCTGCTCTATCATCTCGCGCTGGTCTTGCTAGAGTTTACAGTGATTTTGGAGAACCCCCCCTTGTCTTCACAACCAATCATTTTCTGAAGAGATACCACGATGGGACTTGACGCCCCTGCGCAAAAGGTGTTCGACGCGATCACCACACGATTGCAGGTTGTCAGCGATGAACGCATCAAGACGAAGCTGCAGGAAGGAGGAAAGGTATCTGGCTACTGGGGTAATTAAGCCCAGCTGCTCTTGAGGTCGAAATGTTAGTAGCTTACCCCTTTTTTTTTTTTCCATAGGCACGGCGCCCACTGGACGACGTAAGTGTCAAAAGACCTTGGGGCTTCGGTAACCCGCTTACATAGAGGAAAATCCGTAGCACACTTTGGCTATATGGTTCCTTTGGTAAAAGTTGCTGAGTGTGTGGCAGCCGGTTGCGAGGTCAGTTCTTCACAACGCGGTCCCACCCCCGCCGAATCCGTGTTAACAAATCCAAAAAAACGATAGGTGACAATCTACCTGGGAGACTCATATGCATATCTCGTCAATTACGACGTTTCACAAGAAGTAGTCGCCCATCGGACACAGTATTACCGTTTCCTGATTGCTGCCATCCTTCGAGCTATTGGAGTCGACATGTCCAAGATAACCTTTGTGGCTGAATCCACCTACACCTCAACTCCGCCATTCTGCAAGGACCTCGCGCGGATGCTGGTTCATTCTTCCCAAGCAGACATCAAGATGGTCGGTCTCGAGGTCACCACGGCCCACATGATGAGTCCACTGGTGTGCCCGGTCTACCAGGCGCTCAGTGAAGTTTACATTGGTGGTGACTTTCAACTTGGTGGAGTGGATCAGGTGAGGGAGGCAGAACATTCCGTCCCTCTGAAACGTTGTTGTTTAGTACTGATCTTCCTTGATTCATCCAGCTCGGTATGTTCGCCTATGCTGACAAAGTCCTCCCTCGTATCGGCTACGAGCCTGTATCGCATCTGGCCAACGTGATCGTCCCCGGATTACACAAGGGCAAAATGTCGTCGTCTGCCTTGGCAGACACCAAGATCGAGTGGCTGGATTCACCAGACACAGTCAAGAAGAAGTTGGAAGGCATTTCATGGGCAGAGCGTGATGGCCCCGCTGCCACGGCCGTCTTGCCAATGCTCCAACATTGTCTCTTCCCTCTCTATCATCTGGGCGCTTTGGGCGACGAGAAAATCACCGCCCAGCTGGTGGACGGTTCCGCCAAAGAATACAATACGTATGACGAGCTTGAGCGAGACTTACAGGCCAGACAATTGGGATTAGGAACGCTCCAACCAACCATCATCGCGCTCATCAACCACGTTCTGCGTCCGATCCGGGCCGAGCATGCCACAAATCAAGAATGGAGACTCGCGGAGAAGCTGGCCTATAGTATTTAGTATAAGTTCCAGACTGGAAATAATACCATGGATCTGTTATTGTAAATACTGAATGACCGCGTAACTTTGGGGGTTCTGTAAACTGAGTGAGGTTGTCTCCCACTCCCTCAGCTCGGGCTGCTCAACCGACCCACCCATTCAAGATCGAAGCTCTTGGCTCTAGACTACGGCGATCTACCTGGATGGTTTTCCACGTAATACTACTAATGGTTAAGTCAAGTCACTAGCTAACTGGGGTCTCCACCTACAGGCATGCGAAAACCCGTGGAATTCTGCCGCTCCCCATATCAATGCTGACTGGTCCGATCTTCTCAAGCCCCACCAGCAGTCTGGCACGGCATTTGCATTTCAAGCCCGTAGGTTGAGGATGGGTTCCGATCTTCAATCTAATCTATGAAACAGGGCAAGTATCAGTATTATACAGCTGAAATGGATAATTCTCGATGACTGAATATATTTTTTCAATTAATTTTTATCCTAAAGCATGTTTTTGACAGGTAACTCGCAGGTTTACCAGCTCGGAGTTTAGGTCCAACATTGGAAATCGACCCGTGGCGGGGTCTAAAAATGATATAGTTACGCAGTAAAGGGAGTTCATTGCCGAGCTGTATGTTGAGAACTTGAGCTTGCCCACGCCGATCCCCCTCTTGCCCCAATTTAATTCATTTAGCGCTTGGGCGCAAGTAATAGCTAACCATGTATCGTTCATGAGCGCCATCACTAGGCTGCGCCACTTTATGGAGGCAGGAATGGAGTCTGCCGCCGGTTTGCTTCTGGAGCGAATTAGCCACATTGACTAGAACGTGTCCATCTCGCTCCTCAGCCCACCCCCACTCCCCTGTGATCGGGTCACAGATCTGGCTTGCCATTTCCGTGCTCCATAGAAGGGTCAGAGTGCCGTTGTCCGTGTGTGTCGTATCTGGGAATTCATCCATCCGCTCGACAGTCGGGATCTCAATCAGCTTTAACCCCGAGTCATTGCTCTGGGTGTCTGAGTGGCTTGTCTCTAGATGGGCATCGCCAGCGAGGCCCAACATGTCTGATAGATTGCGTACGAGCGTCAGGGCTAGATCGTGGCAGTCGGCGGTGAAGCGCGCCAACAACTCCTTGTGGGTTGCAAGTTGACCCGGACAGGCTAACTGGGAACTTGCAAGCTCCTCGCGAGCGAGCTGAATTTGTGGATTAATGTTAGAGTTTTTTTTTTTTTCCTCTCGACATTGGCGGTGGATGAAACACGGTCTCAAATATCACTTACTTCAAAGGTTTGATATCCATGGCCAGGTTTGTATCTGTGCAAAGGTTAGCAGGCCCTGGAACGTGTTCGGAACAGATTGTGGTGACTTGCCCGCGATCAATGTCGGCCCTGAAGTGCTCCTGCTTCGCCTGCGAAGGTTGATCGAAGTAATCTTTCGTTACTTGATACACCTGCGCCAGATCCGCTCGTATCTGCTTTCCAGCGACTCCTCGCAGGTCCACAAGGAAAAACCCGGGGCTTCGTGCGCCCTGTAGAAGCTCTTGGATTGACTCCGGGTCCTTCGCTAAAAGTTGATCTAGACTGACTGATCGTAAAGGGGTATAAGTGTTTGGGGATACAGTGGTAGTAGCCATTGCGATGGTGTTAAGCAAACTAGGGAGGGAGATTTTGCCAAAGGAGATAGATAGGTCAAAGAGAGATGGAAGAATAATGTGCTTCGTACAGAAAAATGGCGTAAAAACATGAGCTTTATACTTTGCTAGTGTAGGGGCCGCTATTCTCATGAAACCACAGTAATGATTTTACGGGTCGAACGATTGGACAGTCGACCCGTCAAGTCACTCCATAGCGGATCATGAGTCAGTTCATCGACCAGCTTGCGAGAGAGAAGATCTCTTGGATGAAGTCTGCTCAGCTGGTTTTTGGCAGTACATGCTCAGCTCTGAGCGTCAATCACATCAATCACAATGCCCGATAACGAATGGGGATCTTCGCCACCCCACAAATGGTGGAGGCTCGTGAAGTCATTTCTCTCAGCCAGCTAGGCTATAACCCTTTTCTAAAAAAAAAAAAGAATTCGTATGTATATTTGCAAGTGTCTTAGTGTTCGGACACAGCCTTTCGGAATATCAGGGAAAATTCTACAGCGCCCCACCCGTTGGTATATGATCGGAAGCAGAAGCGTTTTGAGGGAATATTCCTTTAACCCACGCAACTGACTACAAACTCAAGAGGTGTGTGTGTGTGTGTGTGTGTGTGGGTGGATATACCGGCCATCACTCGTGTTTAGGCTATTTGCGCTGAACTGGTCGTCAGCGGCAAACAAATATGCCTTTCTCTGGAACAGTTCTCTCCATTGCTGCCGTGGTGTCCTTGATCACTGCCTTGTATACTTTGTTGAGAGGGGCTCCCAAACGAGCAGTGCAGCAGACATCCTATAATGCAGGAATCGATGCACAGGAGAAGCGCCATTTACTCCATGATCCCATTGGCAGTCCGTGTCCCGGAGCGGGACGTACCATCGACTACTATCGATCCCTCTTTTTCAAACTGCACAACATCGAAGATCACCAAGGAATACTACCCGAAGCCCGAGAGCTGCTCCTTTCCTTGCTGTCGGAAGCAATCGCATCCAACCCCCCCGAGAAACACAGTGATGTCCTTGCCATCGAGGTCTACAACGAAGACCAATTGCTCGCATTTGTACACGACAGTCACAGGGAGGTCGGTGAAGCGTACAAAAAGTACATTGCGGGCCGGGAAGCGGGAGGCCCGCGGCTCCTCGCAGAAGATCGCGAACAAGCGGCGGTGTTATTGACCCAGTTGGCACCTCTCAAGCTGGTGGACGGTGCCTGGCTGGGACATATTCATCACATCACCACGCCATTTGAACTTCGACCCATCACGAAGCAGCTCTGGCAGGTGCTATCGGAGGAGCTCGGCGACGGGTCACTGCACCTCCACCATGCACAGATCTATAACAACCTCTTGCATGATCTAGGGGTGCGCTTGCCAGCACCGTATGAGCCAAGTTTCATAGATCCCGCGCTCCAGATGAAGAGCCTTGGCGCATGGAAGGCGGCGGTAGTTCAGCTTCTTGCTTCGCTATTTCCCGACGAGTTCTTGCCTGAGATTCTGGGGTATAACCTGCACTTTGAAGGGCTGAACCTAGAAACCATGGTCCTGTCGAGAGAGATTCAGGAACTCAAGCTAGATGCGCAATATTTCCTACTCCATGTATCCATTGATAATGCCCATTCTGGGCACGCCATGATGGCTGCACATGCAGTCACGGAGTACCTCTCCCACATTCGGAAGAATGAGGGGTCTCACGCCGCCAACACAGCGTGGAAGCGCATCCAGGCGGGCTATATGCTGTCCTCAAATCAGTCAAGACACATTCAGAGGGATATATCTTCGTTGTCGGCAGAAAACGTCCACTGGAACATGGCTTCAGATGAGACTCTCACCCCGGAAGTTGATACTTACAATATTGCACAACTGCTAGCAGATAAGGCTGCTGTGTCGAACAAGTTGCATTCCGCATGTCGTGCCCGAATTGGTGGAATGCCGTTGGCCGAATGGCTAGAGTCAAGCCTCGGTCGTCCCAAGAGCCAGATGCGAGATGCGCTCCGCGAGTTGAGCAATGCGTCCCCATGGATTGTCAAGGGCGATCCCGAACGAAGCAAGTTGATCCGTGAGCTCAAAGTCGGGGGCAAGATGTTTGGCGCATTTACCGTGGGTGAGATTGAGCGTTTGAAGAACTGGATCATCTCCCTGGGTCCGAATGAGCAAAGACAGACAGCGTATTGGGACTTCACAGGTCGAAGCCAGAACGACCGTTGTGGTCCTACCTCCCTGGTCACCACACGTTCACCGTCGGCATCAATTCCATTTTCTGCTGATCTCGCACTCGATGAATCCATCTTCAAAGCGCCTTTGGAATACCGTCCAATCAAGTCTAGCGATTGCAAAATGATCTTGCCTTTATGGTTCGCGCACATATCGCTCCTAGAGTCAGTGGTCAGCATTCCCACACGTGTTGCCTCGGAGCTCGGGGCAGCCATAATTCGGGCTTTGCGCGCCCAGTACAACTTCAGTCCGGAATCGGATGGTGTGACTGGGATGGACGAAGTGAATCGAGCTAGCATGCCGGATCTGGTTGATATTGGGGTTGAAATCATCCATCGTCAAGGATTTGCACCTTTGCCAAGATCGATCGCGGATATTCTGAGGGCGTGGCCTTCAACATCTGCCGAGATGCTATTAAGCACGTCGAATTCACCTGTGAGGAACCTAGATGTCCTGCTGGGGATGTCATTGGCCTTTCTAGGCCTCCAGCGGTCGGTCCTACGCTCTCCTGCTCTCCTGTCCCATCGCAGCCGGTCTGCTTTGAAGAACATCGTTGAACGCGAAACCTCGTGTTTGCAAGTGGCGTATGAGCTTCTCCGACAGGACAGTCAACGAATGCAAGCCTTTACCAAAGGTTATCAATTAGCCCAAAGCATACTTGGGGAGACCTTGGGAGCGGCCGAATAGCACTAATAACCGAATAGACACATTTCATAAACCTGTAGTACCCGTGAAATATGCATCTCAGTATAACCTCGCGCGCGTAAACCACTTCAGGAATAGAAGAAGTATGAGGTGGCATAAATATCTATCAATACCCAGTAAGACCGAATTGAATGTTTCAACACCTTAGCTAAGTAGTATATTAAGGCTTGATAGACTGGTAGAGTAGTAGAAAGAACAGATTAAATTGTAGAATAATCTATGACTATTTTTTTTAAATCTTTCCTTAGCTCTTCAAATTAGACTATTCTTAGATTAATAGAAATCTTAGATTAATAGAAATAAAATATAGATTGAAAACCTATAAACAGAATGAGAAACAGATAGAATGTTAATCTTTATTACATATAGGGCAGTTGAAACAGATATCAAAACAGATAGCACAGTAAAGCAGATAAAATAGATAAAACAAATAGAAACAGATACACAGGACTTATACAATTACAAATTTGAAAATAGCTGAATTTAAGTTAATTGATCCGGGAGTCTGCAGATAGAGGGAGGACGGGGAGGAGATCAGAGGAGAGAGAGATGGGATTGGAAGAAGAGGCCTGGTCCTTCCAGTCATCTTACAGTACTAGGTACCTAGTACCTAGTAGTCCCCCTAGCTGCTAACAGTACAACCACACCCCGGGAAACACCAATCACTATACCACTTTTGCTGCTGAGCTTAGCCCATCCATCCCTAAGCATCCGATCAGCTTTCAATCCGACCACATCCACTGCAAAGCTGCTGATCACTGCAACAACATGCCACATATCCGAACAAGCGAAGGAGATATGGCGTCAGGAAAAGCGCACAAGCGAGAAGCCAAACCCATCCATCAGATGAAAGGTGTTTCGTTACTACCTAGTACTCTTCATTTCGACGCAACACTAACCATTGGTTTTTGCTAGATTTGAGCAGTATCTACAACGCAGACGATACCTACACAATCCACGAACCCTCGTGACAGCCCCCATCACGAAGAACCACACAAAGACATCCACCCGTGAGCGATCCGACAATTTAACACACACAACACACACCGTCCATCACACCTCGCTACTCCGGAAACATGATAATGTAAACCAAATGAGCAGACACGACTTTATCTACGGCGCCAAAGACACTCGACAGCCTTCTTAGGAGAGCACACCATCTCAGAAAGCTTCCACCCCCACGGCCATCCGACGAATGGCATCCTATACCTTAACGCTGTCAATCTAAGGTCCGTACTCACATCGACGTAGTCTAGGCTAAGGTAGTCCATCCTAGCAACCCAGAGACAGCCATGCTCACGAACTTGAGACAAACCTCTCCGAATCCTTTTCGTGATCCAAGAGCCCATGAGAACCCAGAACGCTTGCTTACCCATCTGCAGCTGCATGAAAACCGTTGCCACATGGGAAAATGACAAGCTCAACCCAGGACTGCTCCTCCCCCTTGCAGTTGGTGAATAGAACCGTCTCCTGGAGACTGCTCCTCAGTCATACTGTCCAGTCCGAGCTTCGACCCTTGCAGGCAACAAGGGGTACAGTGACGACCTGACCTTCGGATCAAGTCATTTAAGCACTCGAGCAAACCTGGAAGTATGATCGTAGTTTGTCTAACATGTTTTGGAAAGATAAAATAGATACGACCCAAGACTAGGCTTCGACTGTCGCGAGTTCCTGCATGCCAGCTTGTTTAAAGCATATCGAGCATATTTAATCATAATGCACATGAAGTGATCGACGCTTTGTATTATCACCAGACTATGCAACACAAAAGAAGTTGATTCTGACAAGAGACCGAGCTAAGATGACAATAGTCGCGTCTTGTGACCTTGCAATCTTCGCGAATGAGGCGAAAAGAGAGTTGAAATCTGTGTAAGGCTACCGCTACTGCATTGACAATGCACTGGAACATACTTAAACAGCAGTTCAATTGCAATGAATAGTCGTAACAATACTTCGTCCCTCTTAGCTTACATCAACAGTAAGAATAAACACATCTTGAAGGTCTCGGGAGAGTCTCTCATTCCAGAGGAATAACAGGCACATGATAGGCGAACTGGTTGGTCGGGTCATATATAGCCTTGAGAGCCCAAAGCTTCTCCAAGCGCCATGGCTCGTACCCATAAACTTGTTCTAGGGGCTCGTCACCAAATGCATAAATGGCATGTGCACTGGGGAGCCGGTCTGGCTGGCCATCAATAAAGAGTTTACGAATATCATGAGCAAGCTGCATTGCCGGCTCATCAAGATTGGAATCCGGAGCATGCGTTATTGTGGTAACTCTGTATGACGATGATGTCAGCTTTCACCCTCTGGTAACATTAAGCTCAGATACGAGAAATGAAAGGCCGTACTGATTGATATAATCATGGCGGTGCGGGAAAGCCGAAGTCGCTGGGTCAATCGCCTTGACAGCTTGGACCGAGTATCCTTCGAACAAGACAAAAGATGCTGGCCGGAGTTCCGTATACTTCTTCAGCTTAGCATCGAAGAGATCATAGACCTGGCGGCATGCAGATGTGTTATAGACTTGCAGCCCAACGGTAGATGCCTTCTTTGCAAATCCTTTCGCACAAGTTGAGTCGAGGTTACCATTTCTTGAAGCCAGGGGCATGTCAGGATAGGGCACAGTTCCGTCGGTGACATTTATAGGGCCGATAGCATCAAATGGAGCCAGGTACTTCTCTGCATCGATCTGCGGACCAGCATAGTTGAAGGTCCAGTAAATAATTACCTTGTAGACGTCAGATATCGAGTCAGAGGTATGATAGAGATACTCAGCTCACGTCAGTGTCGCTGAACAATGGGTTGAATTCAAAATGGCCGTAAGCAGCGTCCATTTCCACCGGTTGCGACCCGTTGCGAGCCACTACTTTGTTCAGTCGCTCGAAAAAGGGCTCAAGCTTATCTTGTGTGAACACGTAATTTCGAAAATACCAAGTATCCTCCTCATGCGGATAGATCTTCATCTCGAAGCTGGTCACTATGCCGAAATTGTGTCCGGCACCCTTCATGGCCCAAAACAGGTCCTCATGGCTGTCGTCCGAGACTAAAACTGCAGTTCCATTGGCCAGCACGACATTCAGTCGAACCATGTTGTCGAGCATCAGGCCATAGCGCGTTTTGTACCTTCCGTGGCCGGCCCCAAGAGCCTGTCCAACTATGCCTGCACACGAGCTGGCTCCGGTAGCTAGAAGAGAAGACGGTTTAGCCATATGAATCGATGATGCGACAGACATGGCTGTGACGAACCTGTAACATAACCTTCTTTCCACAGCGCGTCGATCAATTCCTGGGTGGCTGTTCCCGCCGATACACGTGCAATCTGTCTCTCTCGATCCACCACGACGTCGGTCAAGAGCTGGACGTCAATGGCCATACCCCGGAACTTCCCTTGTGATTTTGGCAATCCATAGCCGCGGTTGACCGTGTAGAAAGGAATGCCATTTTGATAGGCATATTGAACCTTTTCCAGGTCAGTCAAGAGATGTTGAAAGCGAGAAAAGGAAAACAAAATACCTACCACTGTAGAAATATCATCTTCACAGCCGACCTGAACCCAGACGGTGAATTGCGGGGCCATATACTCCTGAAACCTGATCACTCGCTGTGGCCATCGAGGATCATCCGGGCCAAAGATATAAGAGGATCCGCAGAGTTGTGGGCCGAGCTCGAGTTGTATCTCGAGAGGTGTCAATTCTGCACGCGTCATGACACAGTATTCATCGTTGCAGTCGGTCAGCGGCACCGCCTGTCCGAATGACTGCAACAACGTGAGGATGAGCGTGAGCAAAGTGATAAAGTGGAACATGATGACTGAATCGATATGATAAGTGTGATGGAGGGGCAAGTCATGAGAGAGTGTGTGAGTTGGTGGGGAAAATCGAGTACGAGATTGAGAAAACGGATGGTATAGACAAGTGAGTCTCAAAGCATCCATAGGAGGAAGGTGCAATTCGCATAGGGAAAGAACTCAATATACCTACCGAATGCTACTTCCACAACTCGTTCCATAGTATACAGATACTCAGAGTGAATCACGGTCACTCCTCAGGAGGGAGCATCTGATCCGATGATTCCGTTTACAAAAGTAGGGTCCTGGGGCTAAGATACCTTTCTTGAGACCTGATATCATGTGTGTGGGTTATTTAACATGGTATCGCCTCTATAGACAGAGGTGGTAAGTAGCAACCTTGCTTGTGCTAAAGCTCTCTGCTATTGTCTTTTCAAAGATCTCAGATTGCCTGCTGCCCATCCTTGTCTCAAGTCTGGATCTTTTCTCTCCGACCAAGCTGACAATGGAATTCCTCCTATGTACAGTAACTACATCCAATGCATGCAGCGAGATGAGTAATCAATGAGGCCGAATGCGCAAAGTAACACCTTCCAAGCCTCGGTTCGTTGCCGCGACGTGGGGTACTGAATGACGTCACACTCCATCCCGCACCGACCCTTTCGGTCTCACACCTTCAATATAGTAAGAACATCCAGAGACCCTCCATGGAGAACTCTGGTCAAGCCACTTAGCTCGGTGGCTGACCGTACAGAGGGTCACTCGTCGAATAAAGCTCAGGGACGAAGAAGTTTATCGTGACCTCTCGAGGCAACAAGATACTTTGTATCTTGAGAACCAAAACAAACAATACATGCGGCATTACTGATCGCAAGTCACGATGCCCACGAGCAGGAAAGCCTGAGCAAGACCAGGACCGCCGCGTCAAGGGCTAAAGGATAGCAGACTTGGCGCGCTCCACCAGAGGTGTTTTGTGCGGTTGTGTAGCTGGTTCTATAGTGCGGGTTTGCAGAAATTGTGACGCATGCTCTACATAGAAAGTGGGAGGGGAAACACTTACGAAGGTTGGCCCAATATGCGAGTACGAAAAGGTTTTATCCGGTTTCGAAATAGATAGATAGGAATCTACTCAGAAAGTATTTGCTGGTTGAGAATCTCATGATTGTGTGAATATTATAGCCAGCAAGAATAC